AGATCACACATAAGCCTGTGTGGAGAGAGAAAGCTCACTGTGAAAATGCCATCGGGAAGGACAACACTGCGCATAGATGTGGCGATTCTCCTTGGAATTGGCAGCCATTTCTCTGTCATCACAGTCATTTTCCTGTTCAGCAGCGAAGGCAGCCCTGGCTCTGCCGGGAGTGCCAGACACTCTGCTAAGCAGAGGCCCCCGCCCAGCCCGCCCAGCCGAGCCCACTTTAAGCAAAGGCTGAGCGAAAGGGACAGATGTAGAGACAGACTATTTTGACAGGGGACTGATTCTCTCCTCCCTCCCCCCAAAAGCTTTTTTTTCTCTCCTTATGTTCGGATGAATTATTCCTAGTCTCAATGAGAAACAAAGAGGAACAGCAAGAAATTATTCCGGAGGGGATGGGGAGGCACCTGGGGAGAAACACACACCCACAAAAAAGCCCTCAGAGGTTGTCAGCATTAAAAATGGTTAGTGATCAGATCCCCCCCGATTTGCTCATCTGTGCTGGGCACCATGATTGAGGGTGGGGACGGGGAGGGAGATGTTATTTTTGTAAAGCTATTTGCTATATAAGCTTGATAGAGAATTCATTTCAGGGAGAGTCCTGATCCCCTGGTTGGGAAATGAGCTAACAGACACGTTTGATTATGAATGTGAGCCCCTAGGGATAGATGGCCTAGATAAGCAGGTCAGACAAAGAATGAAATTGGGGTCTCAGCTTTAGCGCTCCCATGTTCGCTGCATTTACAATAGCTACGGTGAGAACCAGCCCGGTGTCTACCAGCAAATGACTGGAGTTTTAATGTGATATATGCATGCAGACATGGCAGGTACTGTTCTGCGTACTTAGGTTACATCCGTGAATAAAATAGACCCAAAAGCCATGCCTCCTGAAGTTCGTGCCCTATTGTCAGTCCCTGGGAATGTCCTCCATGCTGGGGTAGAAGGTGTATTCTTCATTCTTTTGGTGCAGATTTTCTACATATGACCATTAATTCAGGATTGCTTATTTTATTACTCCAATCACATATATCCTCACTGATCTTCTGCCTGCTTATTATATCAGTTTCTAAGGGAGGTATGTTAAAATGTGCTGTCGGTGCAGGTGTTTTTTTCTTGGTTTTAATTACCGCCCTAGGAGGCATATCCTTTTGAAAGATGAGACCACTGATTCTCAAATTAAGAAACATGTCTTATCTCACAACGTTTGTAAAGGATGGATCCAGGATTCCAATTTAGTTGTCCCAATGTTGACAATATTAATTGCGTGGCTGCCGTCCTTTGTTGTGTCTAACATCTTCATCTAGCAACAATATGCCAGTCTCTCCCCATCCTTGGGGAATGGGACCAGGACTGGCCATCACAGCATCCTGGGCCACACAACCCAAACCCGGCCAGTGAGACAGACACCTGTCTTTCCTTCCTCTAGAGACAGACACCTGTCTTTCCTTCCTCTAGAGACAGACACCTGTCTTTGCCACGCTGCTTTCCGGTGGTTCGTTGGTTACTAGCCATGTCTGAATGTACCAAGGTACCTAATCAGGATAGGAGCTTATTTTTGTTTAGCTGTTTACCAAGGACATTTTTTTCTCCTGTATCTATTCACCTGAACAGAAGATGTCCTGCATTTCCTAATTATTTCACCACCATATCTGGAACACATAATCTTCCATTGCTTTTCGTGTAAAAAATACTGAGTGCTATCTGAAACTTACTGCATTGTTGCAGAAAGATTGACTTATTTCTAAAATCATTCAGCATCACTACTTGCTGGGAACTGTGCTGGGTGGCATTGTGGGTTCGGACTGGAATAGACACAGGTCCAGTCTGTGAGGACGCAACGCAGCAGAAAGAGTCCTGTGAAATGTATGGAACGTAGGGATTATAGGAACATGGGCAGTGGGGGCCGTTCGCTCAGTAGGGGCAGGAAGTCAGGGAAGGCTTCACAGAGGAGATGATGCTGGAATTGTATCTTGAATACTGACCAAGAAAGTATATTCCAGGAAAATAAAAAAGCAAATGAAAAGAGGAGAAACATGATTCTCCGTACCAATGTTCAACTGACAAAGTGCCTGTTAAAGTAATTTATTTTTATTCTTTATTGTCACTGCTACATTCCCATTTCTTGACACTCTAATCAGGGTTTGCAAATATATGGGACCCATCCTGCCACTCCCCCACCCCCACCCCACATGGCAAATATCTCCAACCGAACACAGACCTCTCTCCTTAGAGTCTACTCAACACTAGGTCCCATGATTAACAGAAATAAAGTGGACACAATCATTATTAATAAAAGAGTGTGTACTGGAGAGAGACTAGCTTACATTTGTCATTTGGGTGGAGATGTGAAGGGTGGCTACCCAGAAGTGAGGCAGGGAGGCCAGGTCCTCAAATGTCACCTGGGCAATTTTTAAAAAAGTTCCAAACCTTAAGCCACAGCCCAGGCCAATTAAATCCCAAACCCTGGGGATGGGGAAAAGGCTTCAGTATTTTCCAACCCCCCCCAAGTAATTTCCAATGTGCAGACAAGACAGAGTGACTGCTGTAAGGGCGCTTGGTTAGAAAAAGCCAAATTCATCACAGATTTAAAGGGCCGCAGGGGTTACTGAATTGCTCTTGCTAGGAGGAGGATGCTCTAGGGCAAGAGGCCAGCCTCTGCGTCTAGAGTCTGCTCAATAAGCAGACACCAGGAGTGCAGACCTGAGCAGGCCCCACCACCCAGAGGGCAGAGCCAGCCTGGGCTGGTCGGAGCTGAGCTCAGGGTCTGGCCTTCAGCCACCTTTGTTGTTGTTTTAAATCAGTTTTGATGGCCCAATGCCAAATCTTCTTAGAATCGGTCATTTCTTATTTTTATTTCTATTTTTGTAGAAACAGGTAAGGACTAAAAGCTTTAAGGGCAATCAGTGTAACAACTCAATGAGCTTAATTTTGCTACATTCAACCCTCTTTCAAGCTATTACATTTGCATCCCGGAAAAACCTCAGGTCCTTAAACACCAGTGAAGCTGTTTCGTGCTGAACTGAAAGGAATGTGCCGCTTCACAGGATCCTCAGTGGCACTACCATCTGTGTGAAAGTCACTCTGACAACACGTTGCTTATTTAATTAGAATTTCAGGCCACAGACCATCGAGTACAGAAAACATCACTTTGAAAACAGAGCCAATATCAATACTATCCTAACCTCTTTATAAAAAAGTGAAGAAATCTGTTAAATTATAGCACAGTGACTCAAAACCTTAAAGAAAGCCTTCGATCCTCCTACTCATTCAGAATTATAAGACCTGTCTCACGGAGGAAGGGTAAGAGGAAAGCGTTTTCAAGACCTTTCTATACCCCAATGACCTTTTTGACTTCAAATGTAAACACGTACTTGCACTGACACGGCACTAGGATATAAAGACCAATTTAAGGATGTAATGAAGTTTAAAAGCAGCTCCCCTGTTCTTGCATAAGGAACAATTTCACTGATTTCAATTAGAAACTTCCAGTTGGGGGAAGGGGACAGCAGAAGAGAAGCTGGGGATCCCAGGCCCAGAGCCGACCCTCACCTGCGCTCTAACAGAGGGAGAAATAAGATGGAGCGTTTCTGGGATCAAACAGAAGCAGTAAAGTGGAAAGTGAAGTTTTAAAACTCACACACATCACTAAATTACCTACTTTCTTCCAGGCAAAGTAAGTTTAAAAAGGACGCGCGATTTCAAAGGATTTCACTTTTTCCATCTTTAAACTGAAAGAAACGGGTCCAAGCCCAGTCTCGTTTCAAGTAAGCTGAACTGAGGCTCTGGTTAAAAATGACCGTATCCATTCTCCGCTCCTTGCAAGTTCCATTGGAGGAACGTCCCCTAAGAGGCCAGAGGGACTCTGCAAGACTGTTCCCACTATAGGGACCCTCCAGCCTGTCCCAGTGGGTGGGATAAGTGCTGCCACGAATGGGGTTCGCCCTAGGGGCCATTCTTCCAGCGACTCTTCCCATTCATTAGAGTGTGGTTCTCAAATACGGCCCCTGGATTAACAGCATCAGCATTACCTGGACAGGGTTAGAAATGCAAACTCTGGGGCCACACCTGTCTTAGCCCGTTGGAGCTACTATAACAAAATGCTAGACTGGATATCTTATAAACAAAAGAAATCCATTCTTACAGTTCTGGAGGCTGGGAATCCAAGATCCAGCTGATACAGTGTCCGGTGAGAGCCTGCTTCCCAGCGCTTTATGTAGCTGTGACCACACAGCAGAAGGGGCCAGGAGCTTTCTCGCACCTCCTTTTTCAGAAGAGCACTAATCCCTTTCATGTGGGCTCCACCCCAGAACCTAATCAACACCCAAAGACCCCCACCTCCTAATACAATCTCATTAGGGGTTAGGATTTCAACCTGTGAATTGGGGGAAACACATTCAGGCCTCAGCAGCATCCTGGGCCCAGGGAATCAGAACCTCTGCAGTGGGGCAGCAGCCTGGGTTCAGTGAGCCCTCGGGGGATTCTGACATGCGCTAAATTTGAGTCACTGTTACAACATGTCATTCCCCAGAGACATTAGAGAATGAAGGTGTCACTATGCATAGAAATTAATTGTGCAGGCGTGAACTAACCTAACCCATCTTTCCTCCAGACAGAAAAAACATAAAGCCGATGCTTGTAACAAGCAAAACCATGGAGGTTTGACTTAGGAAACATCATGAGACCAAATCATGAGTTAATGTGTGAGAAAAAGTTTTCAGCAACTCTGGGGTTATCCCCAAAATATGGCTTTAAAGAGTGATTGTGCCCCTTGATGTAAGTGATAAAGTGATGTAAGTGTGTAATGCCACAGATGTGGGAAAGGTGCGGGGAGCCCCAGCACCCACCCACCAGCGACCAAGACAACGAAGCAGCGCCCAAGCCCCATGGCCAGGACCGCTCGGGACTGCGCTCGGCCACAGACCAGCCCGCGGTCCTCTGACTACACAACACGGTCACAGTCAAGGTGGAAGTGAAAATAACAATTAAAAACCACTCTCCATATTTTCACGATCTTTTTTATTGAACATACATAGCACATGTAAACACCCGGCATAAAATTCATAAAAATACAATACTCCTAGGTAATGTCACTTTATTCCTGGCGCATCCTCTCATTGTCTTAGTATCACTGCCTTTCTCTAACACCTCACTTTCTCTGCTAAGCTTGGTTAGAGGCTTGTCTTTTTATAGAAATACTGCCCCAACTTTGTTTTTTCACGTCATAGCAACAGCTGTCTTATTGCCTCCTTGCCCATCCTTACCTTCCTCACACTAAAGGAAAAACATTTTTAAATGCCAAAAAATGCATAAAATACTGAGCTTTAATACTGTGTTGTCACATTTATCAAACCTACTATGGTGGCCATGTTACATAAAAGAGATTTATAATCTGCAGCACTGGCTGCTGCCGGGCGTGACCGAGACCGAGTGTGCAGCAAGCGCAGCCCGAGGCCTGTCTACACCACCCGGCCCCAGCAGGATCAGAGCTTGCTGGGAGCCACATGAACAAGTCCCGGTACCAGTGACCTTCTGAAATAAAACAAGTTGGACTACTTTTACCCTTTCCCAGCACAGAAACAGTTATCACAGTATTTTAATGTCCAACCATTACACGTGAACTTATTAGAAAGGAAGTTACTGGAGGGTGGGAAGAACAGACAATAGCTTTAAAAGTGCCATTTTAAAAAAACAATTGGAACCGCTGAATGTAAAAACTGCCACATTTGGGTGGAAGCAGCTGCAGACAGAGTGGGGTGCGCTTCCCCTCCTCCCACCCCGGGCGCCCCCTTTCCCCTTTTCTGGATGGTTGCTGCATCGCCCAAATTCCACTCCGGACCCGCAGCTCCTGGGACGTTCCCGTTTCCTGAAACTGGCAAAACCCCAAGAAATAAAAGTCACCCAACAAGTGGCAAAGAGGGGGCAGGCACCTAAAGACACTGACAGAATTTGGGGGCTGGACAGGTGGGCCGGGGGCGCGCAGGGGCTGCGCACTCCGCGCTCTGCTCTGAGCTAGAGCTTCCCCAGGCCAGGCTGGCCGTGGGCTCCGGTGCGGAGGCAGAAGGACCAGAGCGACTCAGGGCTCCCGGGAGTGGGGCCGAAGCCATCTCTGGGGACTCGGGGCGACCCACAGTGAGGTTACCAGGCCTGCGGTTAATAGAGAGAGCGCTGTAATTAAATGTGTAGTCCACCAGAGGCCTGTTTGCTTAGAATTTAAAATCCTGAAACCATTTCTCAGATCTATAAGGGATTCACCGTTTTGAAAAATCTCATTTTACACAACTTAACTTCTAGAGAACAAAAATTCATACTAGGAATTCAGAGCAGGTTTGGAAAATTTCAAAATTAAAATAAATAGGAAGGCTGAGTATATTCATTCCTCATACTGAAACGGTTTTTAGAACCAAAATTATAAGGCTTAAGGCTTTTTGTCTTATTAAAGACAGGCAATTTTCAAAGTAAAATATAAAAACTCCATTCATGTATCACTATTCATTTACTTTTTGACAGAAAAATTAGTCATGTTTTAGTATATCTTAACAGTAACAGAAAAACTACCACACACTACGGTCTGCTGTGCACTGTGAATTCTGTTTACAGAAATATACATTAGCTTCTGGATGCATTACATCTGAGGTTGTTCAAAATAGTTTTCCTTAAAACTACAATTAAACATGAAAAATTTTAAAAGTGGTTTAAAGGTATTAAAATATACACATTTGAATAATACTAAAAATGAGAAAATACCCACTTGCCATTAAATTTTTTTAACCAAGAATAAGTACCTGATAAGAAACTAAATGAGTAAATACCACTATTTGACAGAGAATGCTGGGGGGAGGGGGCAGGGGGTGGAAGGAGACACGCTAACACCACGCTGTGGGCTGGTGCAGAATTTGGACCTGACCACTGGGTCTAAGGGTCTGGAGTAACAATGGGCAGAAAATGCTTCATTAACAAGAGCAGCACAGAACGAAAGAGCACGAAGAGGAGAACTGAACTGACAATTCCACACAGCAAATTCCCTGTCAGCCCCACTACTCTTGGTGACAGGGACCAATAGGACTGAGGAGCTCACGCTACTGGAATGTCCCAAAGACAAGAGTAAGGGGCAGAAACAAAGGCAAGGGGCATTGATAGTCCATAAACTGTAAAACCAGACCCTATAAAACGTAGCTCAGTTGTGACTGTATTTTCATATCTCCTTTGTATTTTGTATACAAGCAGCTTTGCTCATTTTAGCACAAACGTTTAAGTGAAACATAAGCACATACTTATTTGCATAGCAAATTTTCAGGGGTGCGTTGAAACAGTACCAATTGATAGTGGTATACATATTTTTACAACCAGAATGACATTCAAATTGACCAAATAAAACATTTCCTATTGGAAAACAGTTCCCCATAAAAGTTTTTGGGATTTGGTTAGAAACAAGGCATGAGTTACTAGGAAACACTAAAACCATTGCTGCTGCACTTGTCTGCAGGCGGCGGTCACTCCTCTATCACTTCTAAGACCTTGTAAACACTGTTCTGGAACACGGTGGTGAAGTGGGGCTCCGAGTCCTTCCCCAGGAGGTTACACAAGGGCGGCTTCCCAGCGTTAGCAGGGTCTTCCACGTCCCAGATCTCAGGCATGCTGCAGCCGGGCCTGGAAGGATGCACGCGCAGGTGAGACACCGAGGCACATCGCGTAAGGGCGCACAAAGCAGGGCGCACGCCTCACAGCCTGCCCTCCAGCCCACACTTTATAACCTGCCCTCCTTTCACCTGCTCCACTTAACTTAGTTTGTGAAAACTCCCATCACAGTTATACTCGTGTAAGCAGCCTGAAGTCCTCCTTAGAACAAGGTAAACACAGCAAAGGTGATTCTAAAGAGAGAAACAGACCTACAAACTCCAGGACTGCAGAAGATGGGCTGAGATCTTGGTTAAACTCTGCCTCAGCCAATTACCAAAATGTGGATTTGTCTAGTTCACTCGGCCTCACCCCCACATCTGTAAAATGGGAAAAACCCCTAACCCTGCTGAGTATAAAAGGATTAAGAGAGACTGCAGTTAGCATAGTGCCCAGCACATAGTAAGAGGTAGTATATTACATTAATTTTAAAGATTATAATTGGGAAATATATTTAGTTCATATTTATGCAGCTTCCCATTAACTATATTCCAGAATGAGCCAACTTCAGGGAAATCAAGTTGTGTTAAGCTCATATCTTAACTGAACACATAATTAAATCTTGAAAGCAATATATTTTTTAAAGAATAGTAGAAATAAAATTGATATTATGTGACATTTGACCAAATAAGTTCTTCGAGATAACGCTAGCATTTATTTTAAATCTAGAATTGTTGGCTTTTGCTAGGGTTCCCAATTCCAATTTCTCTCTCTCTCCCCCTCCTCACCGCCCTCTTTCTTTCTTTGGCTTTTATATACTGAAGATTTTTATGTGATTATACTCCCAGGTGCCGGTCCTTTCTTTAGGGCTGATTTAACGTCTTGTTTAAAGAGTTCTTTCTCACCGCACTACTGTGAACATGTGCGCCATGTCTTCTCCTAGGGAAGTTTTAGGGTTTGCGTCGTACATTCAGACCAGTGACTCATCTGGAATTAACTTTTCTGTATGGTGTGAGGTAGAGATTTAACTTGAATTTTTCCATATAGATAGCCTAGTAGCTCTTGGCCCAATTACTATCAAATCCATGCTTACACCCACTAATCAATAAGCGACAGATTACTGGCAAATCCATTAGCCTCGTTATTTGTAATCACTAAGGTAATGACTGATTCAGGCCAGAATGAAGTGGCTAAGGAAATGCCTCACGTGCAGGCAGGAGAGAGGAAAAGGGTGAAGCTGCAGGGAGTGGCGGTGCACTTCAGTGATCGAGCTGAGCCTCACCAATGGCAGAGCAAAGGGGCGCACACATCCCGCAGCGACGCACTGGAAAGTACACGCCACCCTCCCTGTAGGGTTCTTGCCAGATCTGCCACTGAATCCAGGCATGAGGACAAGCGGCCTGGGCTCTCCCAGAGCATCAATAAAACAGAAAAGGTGAATGCAAGTTCACAACTCCCTATTTGTGCTGAGAAGTTTAAAATTGCACCAGAAAAATACAAGGGGAAATTATAGAGCACTGACAACTTATGTTTTGTCACAGTTGCTTCACGCTCTTAAGAGAGAGAAACCATTCCCAGCAAGTCCCTTTATTCCCAGTGGCAGCCCCTCCCCTGCCCCCTCCCAGGGGCCAGTGCCAGGACAGGAACGCAGTCCTTCCTCCTTTCAGTGGCATCTTTATTTAAAGGTGAGTAATCATCCAGAGAGTGTCAAACAGACCCATCAAAATAAAAACACGGACGTCACTGTCACCTCCAGCGCCATCCTCAGAGGTGACTTCTGTAAACAGCCCAGTACCCCCTCTGCTAGAACGTTTTCATCTCCGTTCAGACACACGCACACAAATACAGGCACGGACGCACTTACACACACACATGCTCCAGGCTGCTTACAGAAGCGAGATGCGGGACTCTTCCCGGGCCAAGAAAACGTGGCCATTTTCCATCTCCTTACATATAGACCTGCTTTATGCTTTTTCATTGTCACCAGTACTCCTGTGCATCATGTAACCACTCTCATGGATAGATATGTTAATTGTTTCCCTTTTCATCAGCACTCCTGCATCTCTCTTTCCGCCAGCTAAAAGTCTGGAAGCAGCACTCTGAATAGGACAAAGGGCTACATGGTTTTCACGCCGCCTCCATCGAATTGTCTCCACAGGAGGTTTTCCCAGAGAGTGTCCCGTGAAGCGTGTTTGGTGCCCAGTCTGGCACACCCTGCTCACACCAGATTCTACCAACACTGAACACAAGACATGACTGGGCTTGGGGTTTCTACCTTCTCATTTCCTCCCACGTGCCGAGGCCAAACCGTTGCACACTGCCGGCGATGGCAGCGGGGAGCAAACGCTCAGGAAGCAGAACACTGCCCAGTGCCCAAGTTCAACTGCTTTCAGGAAGAGAGAGAGGGCAGAGCAGCCTGTGTGAGCCCTGTCTGCGCAAGTGAAACACCCTTTAGTCCCTAATCAGAGTTCCCGAAGTTTCCCCAGGCCAGCCAGCTACATCTTCAAACAGCATTAGTGAAAACCTGAATAATTTTCTTCTGAATTCATGTATTTTAATTTCCAGTCGACTGTATTATTGGGATTAATGAGAAAGAAAGCAGAGCGCTGAGAATAAAAGTAGTTAATGAAAAGCTCACCTATAACTCTCCATGGACTGTATTTTCAGACGTGTATTTGAACACAGGGTGTCGAATAATTAAGGAATCATCAAGCCATGCAATTAAGCCACTTATAAATGGGATAACATAATCTAAGGCTCACCAAAGTGCTGTGGGGCACGGTCCAAACACTAGACATATATTCGTCCCTCTGCCCTCTCTCCTATGTGCGTTCCCCACTGGTTCCCTGTTTTAGTTTCCATTCCAGGGACACAGGGGGGTCTCGGGCTGGCACGGCTGAGCTGCGAGGGAGGGCACAGAGAAGAAAGATCCCAGTGCCGGTGGAAAGCCTGCCAAGAAACTCAGTCCTTCCCACTACAAGGGCAGGCGCCAGGTATCAGTCCCTCTTCCCCCCCCCCCTCTGAACGTCCCGTCTGCTTCCCTATGAGAACGGAAAGCATGACGTGTGTTTCAAGGACTAAGCAGAGTCCACCTGCCTAAGGTTCCCTGAGACTGATCATCAGTCTGGCTGAAATCTGGCAGTAGATGGAGAGTGTTGTTTTGGTAACTGAGTGGGGTAACAGATTAGAGAAAGTCACTTCCTTCACTGCCTCCCTCCTTTTCTGTTGGAACAAACATGACAAGGGCGAGTGAGGGCCAACATGACAAAGCAGACCCCAGGGCGGGTGGAAATCCCCACCAAGAAACCAAGTGCTCCTGAATGCAGGGGTCACATCCCACCTGGTTATTACAATGTCCTCATAAATTATGGCAGAAGCTATGACTTTCTGTCCTAAATTTACTCGACAAAGTTAATTATAGGTGAACATATGAATTTCATATACATTCTTATGTTCGAAAGGACTCAAAGCATTTTTAACTCTAAAAACAATAACCTTATAGATCCTGATTCAATTCAAGTCACTTGTGACATATTGAGAGAAAAACCGTTCAACCATCAACAACTGTTCAAGTTTCCTGGTGGGCAATGTTGACAAACTGTCCCAGAGCTGTTTTTACTCCTGAGTCAACACCTAATTAGTTTGTCTTAACACCCTCGTGCATCACTGAAATGCACGGTGAGTAGGTATGATTAAGCCGTAGACACAGCCATCTCCTGAAGGCTTCTGTTTAGTTGAAGAGCAATGAGAATAAAACAGTAGATCACATAAAATATCCTTGATTTCTGATGAAATTGTTCAGGTCCGTGATCCTCCCGGAGCCAAAGCTTTGGTACTTCAACAGCAAGCTGCCGTCACCTGCTGCCTCGCACCCAGGTGCAACTCAACCGCCCACTGGGAGCTCACTTTAGCTCTGAAGGTCTTACTAACTCCTGCTACTATACTCTGCTTCATGAACACCTCTGTGAAAGTAGATATTTTTTTAAATCTATAAACCCAAGAGCATAGGGGTTAGAGTAAAGTTAGTTATTTTCCCACTCAAATAAGATGTGAAACAAGAGAGAAGTTTCAGTCTAAGCTGACATTGGGAGGCTCCCGTTCATCACAGTATGTGGGGTGGTGCAGGGACAAAAAAAGGCTCTCCCCACCCCATCCCTGCACCACCCATATGCTCTCATTACAATGACACTCTCCACTATCTGGTCTCAGACTCTGCAAGTCTTTTAAAGAAAACAAATCCAACTTGAAATAAAAGATTGAAAAACCATCACAGGCAAATATGAATCATTTGGGAAATTATCAGTAAATGCCTATAAAAAAACCTTTAAGGAAGTGAACATAAGCAAACCATTATAAAAGAAACAGGTATTTGTAATGACTAGGAAAGAAAACAACTTCAAGTCAAATAAAGCGACTTAACAAAGTGCTTGTCCACGAGACTGAATTAACTTTTCATGTCTTATGACTAGGAAGCGTTACCCGTGCCAAATACTCACTTGGACCTTCTGACACACCACGACTCTTCCAGGATGTAATAATTCACTTGTAACTTGATCAGTTCTCGCTTCACTTCCTCAGCTGCTTTTCGACTGTACATTGAGTATACTATTTTTGTTCTGGCCCTTTAAAGAAAAATAATTAGGCAGAAGGTTGTCAAGATTAAAAGGATGCAGTCAATCTGTCTGGAAGACGGCATGAATGGGAATAGAAGACAGCACAGAAGATCGGTCAGGGCTCACAGGAGCCGCGCCGGGCGGGGGCCGGAGGAGAGGGTGGAGTGGCGGCGCGGGCGTCCTGGGAGCAGGGGCCCCCATGCTTATGCTTTTTGTCTGTTTGCTTGTTTTTGTTTTAAATTCTTCATCACTCCTCACAAGGAAGAGTAAAGAGACGTGTGTGTGGACAGGATGAGCTACACAAACACTATCAGGAGGCTTCTTCAAAGCTGCATTGCCCCAGCTTTGATACCATCAAGTTAGCCTTCAATGGCTCTCCACTTTATTCCCAGGTTTTTTAAAAGCTAAATTTATTCAACATAACTGCTCTGGAAATTAGCTTGTGGGAACTGAATTTTTTTAAACGAAAAAGCTTTTTATTTATAAAATATATGTCCCACTGTTAGACAAAAGAATGTATTACTAGGATTCACCCAGTCCCTTAGGAAATTAATCACTTGACCTCCTGTAGAAATTGCACGAAAATGAAATCTATTTCCTTTTCAAAGAGAACATACTCTATGTGTTTAAGAAAAAAAATAGTAAGAAACAGCAAACAAAATCATTCTTATAGGTTATACTGGTGAAAACCAGAATAAAACCCTTTGCATGGGATTGAATTTCAACTGACTCCTGAGAATTCAAGGAAAACAGCCCATAAGAAAACCTTCCTAGAAACTACAGGCTACTGATTCTCTGGGGAACCTGAGGCCAAGGATGACTAATAACCAGCATATTTGGGAGCCGACACCCTACTGGGAAGTGACTCGCCGTGAGTTCTTGGGGTGCCTAGTGGAGAAGATAACCCCAGAGGCTGGTGGTGTGCCACCCCACGGGTCCTTACACTTTTATCTAACTCAGCACCTTGTTCAGCACTGCTCCCCAGCTCTGTCAGTCCCAGCTCACCACACCCTTTTTGAAACCCTCCTTGTTATTTGGCCGGTTCCTGCACTATTTGTATGAGAAATGTGTTTTCGACGTGAGAATCGTGTACTCACCTCAAGCCTGCATCTTCATAGTGCGGATGGTTCACCACGGGCCGGAGTGCGGAGAGTTTCACACTCGCCATCGTGGGCATGGCACCCGCAAACACCGCGTCTGCAAGCAGGACAACGTCTTAGGATGACACTCGACTCCAAGAAGCTGGGCCCAGCTGATCAGGCTGCACCCAGAGGGGTGGGATTTAAAGGCTCTGCAGCAGAACCCAAATAAAGTCCAATGGCTCATAAAGCAGCAACCAAGCTCGGTAAACTACTCTCCTTGGAAGACCCAGCCTCATCATCTCACTACTGAGAATTTTTGTGTTTCACTTATTTTAAACATCTTGGCTGTCTTTCCTGATTCTAGGAAAGTAGTACCAAACTGACTAAGAAATTTTTATAGCACCAAAAAATCCTGAAGATGATTTAATATTCAGTCATTTGATACTGAAATAACAAAAAAACCCCTCTCTTTAAACATGAAGATTCCATCAGTTCATTTCAAAAAGGAATTTGAAGGACTGAGATTAAAAATTCATTAAGAAAATAATCATTAAAAATTATTTTAAATTGTAGCATGTAAAACTGAAAAAATTAGAATTATGGAAATTGGCAAAATTTAATTACTAAGAAAATATGCACAGCATTTCCTTTGCAAACCACTTAAGAAAGACAGACATCTCTCTCCTTCTGGATAATCTGGAAGCAGCACTGATGGATTAGAAACAGTGAGACTATTTACTGGCAGTTAATTACTCGGGTTTAGGACTTTGCAGTGGCATGCAAATTTGAGAAAAACACCACCTAAAATACTTTTTTACCTGGTTTGGTGCTGTACTTGATCCACTCTATAAGTTCTTCTTGTGGCAAGTTGCTGAATTCACCCACAATATTCCACTGGGCTTGTAGATTGGCTGAACCTTGTATTGACATTGCTGCTAACAGAGCAAAGAAAACAGCACCAGGATGCACTTTGCAAAGGAGCCATCCGAAGAGCTGAAACCAAGTCAGACACATTGGAGTTCACTGTTAGAAAGCAGCATGTATCCAGGGAGCAAAAGTTCTTTCCAGAGAACCACCACCTCCCCCAGAGTACCAGCTAAAGCATTAATTACCCCACGGAAAAGTTCCCGAGACAAAGACCCCAGGAACCAGAAGGCTTCTACCACCAGCCCTCACACAGGCGGGCCGGGATTTAAGCAGCTCTTCTCTCAACTTGCTCTCTCTACTCCCAGGGTCAGGCCAGGCTAGGCCCCCCCACTACAGAATTTGCCAGGTCCATGGCAAAATGAAAATAGGGGGCTCTTATTTGAAGATTATAAAGATTAAAAAGCCACTGCAGAGCATGGAGCTATCGGTAGGGTCCTTATCAGTGTGGGCCGTGCACGTGGAGCTCCCACCCTGTGAGGTCAGCCTGGAGCATCTATGGTCGCCAGTCACACTGCGGGTGGGACTGAAGGGACAAGCTTCCAACCAGCCTCCTTTCCTGTCAGGGCTGGAGGGACCAGAAACAGTAGCCTCCTCTGCGATCAGCCTCCAGAAGGCAGTGCCTCCCTAACTTAACAATGTTCTGCCTGGGAACCTTGAGGCTGGCTGGTCCTTTCCATACGCAGACAGTCCCCTCTCCATAGTGACATGCTATCTCTACCGTTTTCTCCTAAAGGCTAATCCATGAGGACACATACACCACTCTACCCTCAACCCTAGAGCGTGGTTCAGATGCTCAGTAAATACCGAAAAGTTTAGGAGAGGTACTGCTGTTGCACCTGGGCTACTTGATTGATGAAAAGGTGACAATGTGGAAACATAAATCTATGAATTCCGAGCACAGAGGCAGGTATCCAGGAAAGCAAGCAGCCAAGACCCAACAGGGCTTCAGCTCAGTTTTAAAAAGTACAGTACTAAAATCGAGTATACATCTCTATGCACGAGTAGAGTCAACGAAAACAAATTTAAATCTCAATACTGAAAGAACATATAATCTGAAAGTACTTATCACTTGAAATCAATTGTTAGAACTCTTTGTGATATGAATGTCAAAACAAAAACATTATTTCTACAATTAAGCTCTGCTTTCTATCAACATCTGTAGTAACCACGAATTCTCTGCACTGACTGTTGTTCATCAAGGACTATTCTAGAAGTTAGAAGATAGAAAATGATCAGCTGACTTTTTAGGAATAATTAGTACAAAGCCATGAAGAACTTCAATGATAATCATTTGAACTCTGGGTAATTCAATATTACTTTAGGGTCCCCCAGTAACAAAGGCAGTGCTAACGCCCACATGCCACCACCTTACCTGCCTCGAGCAGATTAAAGAAGCCATAACGCACATGTGTGGTGTCAAAAAGAGCTTCAGTCGCATGATGAGGACGCCGAGGGCTGTATACGCTACCAGCTGCAGGGCGTGGTAAACCAGCTGCAAGAAAGAGAGTTTCCACTCCCACTGTCCATGCAGTTTAAGGACACATCGTTACAATGGTCAATACATAGAAAAGGGCACTGTTTCTCAGGAACAAGACTTTAATTTCCAAAATAAACAAGTCTTGAAATTCACTTTCCACCTTCTCCGCTTTATTAGAGGGCCAAACCTAAATCACTAGGCCAATGTTCTAGAACTGTGCTCAGGGTCGCGCCTGCAGTGAATAAAGTCTGAGTTTCTGAATCTGCCTCATGCACCCGGGCCAGGCGGAGGGTGGTGACCAGAAACAGCTGCTGTTCAAGACCCCAGAACCAGGTTGAAATATGCAACACAGCATTATTAACTACAGTCACCACGCTTGTGCTAAGAGAGTAGATCCTAAAAATCCTCAACAGAAGGAAAAAACAGTAATTTTTATAACTAAGAATGGCGACAGATGTTAACTAGACTCATTGTGGTGATCGTTTCCCAATGTATACACATTTGATCATTATGTGTTGTACCTGAAACTATAATATAATGTTACATGTCAATTATACATCAATTTAAAAGGAAGAGAAAGAAAGAAAAAAAACACCAGGCAGAATCACCAGGAGCTGGGAGTAACAACCAGTCGCATCTCCAGAGCCCCAGGCGAGGCGAGCAGAGAGGAAAGTAACCTCCAATCTTGCAGAGGACATTCCCTACGCCTCCGAGCGGGCTCCAGAAATAAACTGCTATTGCTGTGAGGATGATCGGAGGGGACCAAGCGAGTTTCCTACCTAACAAATGAACAGTCACGTTTGTAGTCCTCTCCTAAAAACACACGCAGGCCTGTTCTGAAGATGATTAGTGACTTTACTAATAAACTTAGAAGCTGGAACTAGCAAGTAAAGTCCAAACATATACCAACATTAAAATAAGGTACACTTCAGTAACATTAAGTTTTTACCTCTCCATGATCAAACTGGTGTTTTCTGAAATGGAAAAAGAAATACTTCTATTAAATCGCTGTGGAAGCACTAACTTAAATTACTTGCATTTTTATCTTACAAATACGAGTTTTACAGCTTCTGTAATATTCCCTCAGGACACATATATGTAAATCAAAATAACTAAAAGTTATAAACCAAAACCGGTGCTATGATCTTTTAAGACAGTTTATAGGAAAGAAGTGGCAACGCTGCACATGCTGTAGCTTTGACGATATGGACCTTAATTAGGCTAAGGAAAGGCACCCAGGTGAGTGGGACACCTCCCTGGTGACATCCCTGCAGAGCAGGACTGAGAGGCACTGAAAGGAAGTAGAACTGAAACTTCCTTTTCTCCACCCTCCAATCCCATGTTCTCAACCGCTACAGGTCTAACCCTTCCTGACCCTTCCTACATACAAGTAAACATGCCCAATCTTCCTATTTAAACAAAAGGGGTCATCCTATATACTGTCTGTAACTTCTGCATTCAATGATGTGTGGTGGGAATACTTCCATGAGGATGGCCGGCATCCCATCTATGGCTGGGTCATAATTAAACCAACCCCTTACTAGTGGCCACTATGGCTGTTTCCATTGCCCACACTGTGCACACCACCACCGTGGGCATCTCTGTGCCACTGTCTCTGCATTGCGTTCCTGTGAGCATATTTAGGGGATGCAGGGGTACGGGGAGAAGTGCTGGTTAAAGCACAGGCCCTCTGTATTCTGCTGAGCACCGCCAACTCCAGGAGACACGGTGTGTAAGCATAAATGGTGATAAATGCCGAGAGAAACATAAAGGGTATGATGGTGAAGGGTAACAAGCTAGGAGACAAGGAACCTACTCAGGAATGATGGTCAGGGAGGGCTTCCTGAAGGAGGTGACATTCAGGTAAGGATTAAAGGAGCTGGCCATGCAAAGAGCCAGGCTGTGAGACGAGTGGAGGGAGTGGGAGGGGGGCAGGTATGGGCTTGGGCACAACCACGGCTGAACTACTTGCCACAGTTCCAAGAGCAGAAAGGAGGCCCACGGGACAGGAGTGTAGTGGGGAAGGGAAAGGGTAATTTATCTGTCTTCCAGTGGCCTGTTTGTATTCACTCATCTTCCTAATGCGTTTTTAATGTTTTTCTTACTAATGTATCAAAATTCTTTATATATGATAGTGATTAGTCCTTTGTCATATGTTACAAATATTTCCCCCAATTTGTTTTCTTTGAGCAATGCTTATAGTATCTTACCAAACCATACTATGTACCTGGTCAACCTTGTCATCTTTTCTTCTAGCTTATAGGTTTTTATGTCAGACTTAACAAGGCCTCTCTAATCCTAAAATTATACAAATAATCTCTTGGTTAATTTTGAGGTTTCATTTTTTTTTCTTTTTCTGTATCTGAATCTTTGTTCCACCTGAAATTTATTTTGCACAAAATGTGAGGTATGGATCCAGTTTTCGATTTCCCTGCTCTTCCCGTAAAAGGCAGCCCACTGGTCCTAAAACCATCAACAGAATCCTATTTTCCCTGCTAAACTGAAGCACAACGCTATGTCCCTTTGGCATAGATCATGGGCATGGCTACTGTCGGGCTGGACTGGACAGGACCTGGGGTGAATAAGTGATGTGCTGAGCTCTGCACAGGTGAGAAATGAAAGAGAAAAGCAGAGAAGGGAAGATAACCATCGAAAACATCAATTAGCAAATGTCAAGTATGCAACACAGAACTATACAATTAACACACTAGAAGTATCTACTTCATAATAAATGGAGGAAGTAAGAAAATTATTAACAACATACTTACCTTACATGTGTCTGCTGTTTAGTTAAGACGCCCCACATGTCACTAATAATCTGCAAATAGATTTTTAAACGCTTTAGCTGATTTGGGAAAAGCAAAATTTTAACTAAAGTGTCTTCTAAACTTTCAAACTTTTACTTAAATATAAGCATGAAGATAAGAGATAACTTATTATTATTAAAGTAATAATTCCAAAAACATGATTTTACATTTGCACAGTTCTTGAGCGTAACTAACACCCAATAACCCCATGCAGGCAGATGTCACTGTCCTCATTTTGTAAACGAGCAATAGCCTCGGATGGATGAAATAACCTCCCAGAAGGTGGCAAAGCCTCACTGGGTCTTCAAACCAGACCTCTGGCTCCCAATTCACTCAGGCACTTCCGCCCTCCGAGGCTGCTGGCAAGGTCCCCCCTTAATTACAGACACACGTGGCTGAGAACTGTGTTTTCACATTCAGCAGTCACTGGGAGGCCATCCGATCTGAAATGCTACCCCTGGGACCACGTCCGCTATGACACTGCTGACTGGGGCTGATCCTACCTCCTGGAATTGGCCACAATTCTAAGGAGCTGAAATGAATGTAACCTTCTTTCTGAGTCGCAGGCTTTTAAATATGTGAAAATAATGATCCTCTTTCCACTCGAATTTTTCTTCTTGAATCAAACATCCCTGCTTCCTTAACCCGATCTCATTGTTTTTGTCATCTGCTGCCGCCCAGCTGGCTGTCTTTCTAATGCACTCTGGATTGCCAACATCTAGTATTGCCTATTTCCTCTGGGTGCAGACCCACATAAAGTATGCGCAGTGCAAAGGGAGCAGAGCCCGGTGTTCAGCAGAAAGTGACTAACTGCAAACTGATTAGACGTGAAAAGGGCTGCGAGGCTGGAGAGCTGACTACGGCGCAGCGCCCGGGGAGCAGGGAAGGGGCACAGTCTGATTCTCGCTCCTCCCTAGCTTTTCAGTGGATGTCTCGAGATGTGAGGCTGGTACAACCTCTCTGATCTTCCAATTCTGCATCTGTCCAAATGGGGACAATAACATCTGCCTACCTCACAGGGCTGTGGAACCACCAACTGAAATAATGCAAGTGAAATGTTTCAGGGAAAGTACAAATACATAACGTGAATGATGATTATGGTACAGAATATTGTATAAGCATGCCACACTGTGTTAAAACAGCAATCACTAGCTACAGATCAGAAAACTTTCAGGGTCTACCATCTATTTTTCTATTACAGATTAATCTGAATTCATTCTCTTAAAATGCCTACAGTTAAGTTCACCAACTCTTAAAAGAGAAAAGAGAGCCCATCACACCCACTCTCTGCTCAAGGCTGCAACTTCCCTGCCCCGATTTACATCTGGGCTTAGAGTTTCATTATCAAGGCGAAGTTAGATAACCATTTTATTGAGTTTAGTAATATATTGTTAATATTCTATGTATTCCATTTGATTAATAATAAATTCGACCCAGGAGTTAGTGAGCACTGCACAGCTGACTTAGAAAGGCATATATTAAATATTTCAGGGAAATACTACATAAAAGTTAAAAGCAAGTCAGTAATAATTTACACAGGTGAAAACAATTGTATCTGGGTCAGTAAGATCTCTTTGGTCTTGTCTTTCACATACATGGCTATGAAAACCTAAGCCACCCTTTCCCATGTTTATTTTAAGCTGGCACACAGCAGAATACTTTCAAGGCTTGTAAATGTTCATCAATGGCTATTAGTAAGAAAATGTGTTTCAATAAGCCCATACAAAATGTTGTGTCAGATTAACATGTAGCCTAGTACCCATGACCCCTACGTAGAAACAGGAAAATGTTCTATTGTAGGAAAGAGCTCTCACGCGGCAGACATACCTTTCTGACAATCGCAATAAACACGACGAGAACCACTGGAAGCAACAGTGTCTTTGTGTACCTCAGGGGAGTCTGAAATTCAGAGATGTTCTGTTAGAGGAAAGTGTTATTTTGAACAGACAACATTTCATTTCAAATAATGAAGCAAGTGAATGGAAGCATGAGCGTGCACCAGCTAGGGTCCACTCTAACCACGGACTCCCATCATAAAAACGAAGATGGGTTTCCATAGAAACAAACCTCCCCAAAATGACAAGTTGAAAACACTAACAGATACAGTCCTCAACACGTGTAAGTGTAAAATGTGACTAGAGATTACACCTTTTGCACACGACTCCCTAACTAGAGGGCCCAACTTAATATTCACCTACAGTCAGCAGAACTCCTTCAAATGGCATTAGCTTTCCCTGTACATTCGGTAGGGAATAAAAATCTTAACCATGAACACACACACACAATGCCCAATGTTTACAAGAATAAAAAAAAAGATTTTGGCATTTTTCTTTAGTAACAGAGAAAAAAACTATAGAAAAAACTTAATTAACAAAGCACGGCACATTGTAATCCTACACACTTCTCAATAATTTGAGGTCACAGTCTTATACAATCCTGAACTTGAAGTTTATAAACTGTGATTGATTTGCTTATTACCAGCACCTTCCCTCATAAAACAATTCTGTACTTTTGAGTCAAATAATGTACACTTTCCCTATTATGTTTATAAAGAGAAATCTAGCTTCAACTGTATTAAAAATACTGGTACATTGTAATTCTACAAAGTATATACTGTGTAGCCTTTTCTGATTTTTCCCTCAGTCCAATTTTTCTCACTTATTGTGCAGGAGATGAATAATTTTGATAATTACACAAAATGCATACTTCATGAGCTGGAAGTCCTAGTAAGAGAATTTTTATGTTTTTATCTTACTACTTGCCTGTATAAACATTTGCATAGTACTTAATATTTTAAAATATATAAATATATTTATTTTGTGAATTCTAAATTATGTCTTAATCTAGCAAAAATCATATAACTAAAACTTTTAATATTTTAAAAATTAGATATTTGCTAATAACAAATGTAACAAAAGTTGTAAGATACAGGTACCTACCTTAAAAAGACAATCCATCACAACTGTGTTAAAAGTATTTAACACAATTTAACAAAGTGTTCAAAAAAATTTAACATGATATTCCAACAGTTTAAAAGATATTTTTAAATATTTCTCTTTCAAAGAAAATCAAATTAACATCAGACTTTGAAAGATACTTCAGACCAGATGACAGTAGAGTAACTTATGATACTCAAGACAAGATACATGAGTCAGACTTACATCTAGATAACCAGACAGTCATGTATAAAAGCCATTTATAAAATGTTTTGAACATACAAACACTCAGGATTACTGTTTCCATGAGCCCTTCCTACGAACCCACTGGAGATAAGCTTCACACAGCCAAGAAACAGTGGGAGGGGCTTCATGGTGACACTGACCTACCAAGGGTGATGGAAGGAGACTTGACTTGGGGTGGTGAAAACACAACATAATATGCAGATGATGTATTGTAAATTGTACACCTGAAACCTATGTAAACTTTATTAACCAATAAAGTTAATAAAGTTTATTATCCCAATAAATTCAATAAAAAACAAAACACTGACCTACCCAACTATGACAATGACAGGGAAATAGAGGTGACAGAATAGTATGAGTGGTTTATATATTCTGACAATGAAGATACCATGGGAATCTTAAAAATGGGGTGAGATGGGGAAGAGTATGAAGGAAGTAAAAGAATCTCACTGATGACAGCATCACAATAAATGAGAAATGGGTGAGAAGTAAGGGAGAGGGGGCAAGAAGAGACTAGCTACGTTCAGTAAACCCTCAGGAGGAAACCAACAGAAGGGACTAAGGTTAATATATAAAAGTATTAATATAAAACAAAATTATAAAGCTTCCTCAATACCCAAGATATACCAGAGTGTGTGTACACACAAAACAGATGCAAAGGAAATATGCCACATGGTGAGAGAGGTGTGCGTGTACAGTGTGTTCTAGTCTAATTACCAGTTATTTTATCTTAATATTTCTTTATAATTCTTGATTTTATTCTAAGCATATATAATGGGTTATATATACTCATTGTAAAAACTGGAAAATGCAGAAAAAACAAAGAAGGTAATTTCACACTTTAATCAGTTGCCAGCATTTCCTCCCCAATGGATTGCCTGTTCATATCTTTCACCCATTTCTGCATATGCATGCAGGATGGGGATGTGTTTTTGGTGGTAGGGGAAGGGTGAGAGTTCTTGATAAATTTTTTATTGATTTAAACAATTTAATGTAATTTAAAATTACATTAATCTGTAGTTTCACTTGTATTTATGGCAAGAATCATGCCAATCAGTCATCCGCTTTTTGATTTTTATAATATTTATTGTACAGATGTTTTAAGTTTCATGCACACAAATCTATTAATCATTCTCATGTGTGTTTTGCACTGGTATTATGCTCATTAAAAATGAAGTTAATGTTTATGGAAATGTCTCTCAAGTTTATTTTTAGCACATGAAATAAAGTTTGGTGTATAATGTGATACAAAGCTTTGAACTGACTCCCCACCCCAAATACAATTTTCATGAATATTCATGAAATAATACATCTTTTTCCATTCATCTGTGTGCTCTCTTCATTTCACGTTAACTACATACCCGTGGATGGGAGTGCCCTACACTGCACGGTCTAAACCAGCTCTGTTTAGACCGCGCAGTGTAGGACGCTCCCATCCATGGGTCTGTAGCTCAGGACACGGCTAGCACGGGGAGAACAAAGGGAGAGGAAGGCATCAACAGAGCACTGCTGGCCAGTTTAATACATCCACACACAGCTCTAAAAAAACATGTTTCACAGATAATAAATATCATCATAAATGAGGGCCACATGGGTGGTGTATAAAGATACATATATGCATGTCTATTGAATCAAACTAGCTCCTCAAGTACTGAAAATAATATTTTCTATGAAATATCATTAAAACAGCAAAGTACTTTGCAATGTACCTCAGTCTGTGCTCACGGCATCTGTCTGTAGTGTGCCAGTATAAATTAGTAGCTATGACACAAAGAAGGGGAGTCACTTGCTCAAAAACATTAGGTATAGCAGTGCAGGCTCACCTCACAATCCCCTCCACCACCCTCTGGTTTCCTTATAAATACCTGAGTGCAGTTTAACAGAAACTTGATGTGGAATAAGAAACTTGTACTTGATCACACTTCAAAGCAATGAGATCACTCACACACACACCACAGAGCAAAAGCAGGGTAAGAGCTGAGCTCACAGGACTAATGCTACACCTGAAAACAGGCCGCGTGAAGTGCTGTTTACTCATCCAGACACTGCTGGGGGAATGCGGGCTCCACAGTATGAAATGAGAGAGGACCATGTATTTCAGGAGCCATGCCAATGTGAATAAGAACCACTTCCTCTGAGCTGCCAGGTTTGCCTTTCCTTCAAACTTAGCGGCACAGAGGACAGAGGAAAAATAACAGGGATACCCTTCCTGAAAAATGAATGAACCAAAACCTAAGGGGAAAGACTAGAAACCATCTCTTACCTCCTTTTCCATGAAGTCAAACTCGGCTGCACAGGTATACAACAGAGTATCGAAATCCTTGTAACTGAAGAATTTTGATGTTAGCAAGTTGCCAATATGAGCCTAGTAAAGAATAAAACGAGGCACCATTAGATTACACCATGTACTGTAATAATTCCTTTTAATCTCAATATCACCTAAAAATGGTGATCACTGCATTAGAGCTCAGTTCCCACACAGCGAGCTTCTGATAGACAGCAAAGTGCCTGCCCTCTGACTTCAGCTCTCTCTTCCTTGACGACAGGTGACAGCTCCAGCATACCCTGGTTTCAGGGTCGATCGTCAACAAACCCAAGTCTTTATCCCTGGGTTTCCCCCCCTCAGTGTGCTAACCCTGGTGCAAAACACTACACACCACCTTCTCTGCTGGAGCCTACCGGGCCTGGTAACACACCTGTCACTCACAGAAGGAAAATGCGACAGAGTAAAGGAAACATTAACTCAGGTTTCTAAAAAGGGGGAGAAGCAGAAAACGGGTGGGCTTGGACTAGCATGCACCTTTCCACCGACAATCGCCACCTGTGTAACCTGCACGCCACCAAGAGCTCTCGCTCACATCACCTCACTCCCCAACAAAGCCATTTTCATTTAAAGGAGACAGATGTCAGACTCTCAGTTCATTACTAACAAAGGAAGAACCAAGAAAAGGGGGGAAATGACAACGAAAACAAATCCTAACTAAAATCCCCAGTGGTATCTAATGACAGGGTCAGGAGGAGTAGGGACTGGAGGGGGGGACGTGCTGAAAATTTCAAAATGCTCTTTTGCTGGAGAAGAAACGTGTGCTAATAAGCTTAAAAAATCAATAGGGAGCACCTACAACAGCATAAGAAAACCATCTGTCCAATGAAAAGGAGAAAAAACCTAAAAAGCAAGAAAAATAGTTGGGAAATCCCAAATAAAATGAAAGAAACAGGCCCAATAGAATGAAAATTGTCTGCCATATAAGTAAAGAGCTTAACTTCACTCATTAAAGAACAGATGCTCAAACTGGATTTAAGAGGGGAAAATCCAATACTATATTGTCTATAAAAGATGCACTTAACCAAAGTGTGCAGGAAGGTTGAAAACAGAAGGAGGAACGAGAAATGCCAGAGACTGAGCCAAAGACACCTGGGTGAGCAATTGTGATGTTCCACAAAACGGAATTCAAGCCAGAATATAGGAAAGACTGGATGACATCATACGCTGGTAAAATGAACAGCAAAGCATGATCATACAAATCATATTTATATTTAACAGAATAGATTCAATTTATGTAAAAGAAAACAACCTAAAAACTGTAGAAGAAACAGGTAAGTGGCCAGTGTTCAATAGAAATGTTAAATATTTTCCTCTAAACTAGAAAAAGCAGACAAACATTAATATATAATCTGAATATTATTAATAAGCTCACAAACACAGAATACGAACTTCACAAAGGGAGAATACACGTTACCCTCAAAAAGTAAAATGTTTTAAAAAAAGTTCGCATGCTACACCGCAATGTTATATTTTTCTAATCATAAATGCAATGAAATTGGAAAATGATAACTAGAAAGGGCTTTTAAAATCTTTTTGGCTGGAAAATAAGTAACATAAAACTTAACCTTAAGGTTAAAAAGAGAATCATAATAAAACTCATTTGTAAGATACACAGAAAAGTATTGCTTATATGGAAATTTATAGTTTTAAATGCATTTATTAGAAAATAAGAAACATTGAAAACAAGAGCCATGCACTTTCCCCCAAGCATTTGAAAAGCTACAGAATGAGCCCAAAGAAACAAGGAAAGGAAGCTGACAGCACTGGTGACAAAGGGAAGCACCACAAAGCCGAAGAGGGGTTTAAAAAAGTGGTGCTTTGAAAATATTAACATACAATATTATTTCCAAATCCAAATAAGGAAGTTTAAATAAAAAACATAAAAGACCATTTCACATATATGCAAAACTTTTAACCTGAATCAACACCTTAACTGGCCTGTCTTCCCCGTGAGGCGACAGATTCTGTAACCCGAGGACTGGGCTCCTTCGCTTTTCTTCCTGCTCACTATGTGTGTCCCGGTGGCTCGGTCACCTTTCCTCTCACCTGCTGCTGGCTGCTAGGAGCTCCGACTCCGTGTCCCTGCAGCAGGCGGCACTCGCGAATCCACGCTGTGAGAGCTCTTGGTAATTTCTTTACTGATTTAAACAAGCTCCTATTCTAATTGCCCCCGGGCCTGTCTCCAAGGCCCCTCTTGTCTGACTTCTCAGTGGCCGGAGCAGCCCAGCCAGGCTCTCCTGCTGCTGCTTCTGGGCTCTTCCTGGTCTCTCCGTCCCAAGTACATTGTTGCTGCATCAAGGACCCAACACCCTTCGGTTTTGTGCTGTGCAGCCCTTCCCTTTGGGTATCTCCATGCCCCCTCCCCTTTTCCTTAAATAAATTCAATTTTTCTTAATTTATCGTCTGAGATGCTATTTTCTGCCCACGCACCTCCGACCCTAACCTCTTCCTTACTAAGCAGCATAGTAAAACAGGGAAAGCAAAATTATGGTAGAAAGAATCCTTAACGTTATAAAGCAAATTCTCATTTTATTTTCTCTCCTACCCAAATACCAAAACAACAGCAATGAAAATTTCTCTTAATACAACTAACTTGGAATACATTACATATAAGGCTCATAAACTTTTCAAAGCACTGAACAGAACACTGAGGCAAAAAAAGAAAAAGACTGTAATATGATCAACAGTCTAGGAGACTCTGAGGATAGCATCTTTATCTGTGACAAAGAAGGCCATAAAGGCACCAGCAGAAAAGGACTGCAGAGACCTTCAGGTATGAGCTTAAGTCTCCAGAGCTTTCCTGTTTTAAAATTTTGTAATCTTTGTGATATGGAAAAACCAATATAAAAACTGTACTAAAAAATTAATTTTGAATAATACAGACTATAGTCATATTTACCTTCTATTGTAATAAATAGGTAAAATAAAGATGAATAGACTTCATCTTGGAATTTGGTTTAAATAGTGGTATTTTAATAACCCAAGTAAACTGGTTTTTAGCCTGTTAGATTCCTTTCGAGTCTTTCGAGTTGAAGCAGAAAATGCACTTACGTCATCTGCAATGCCGAAGATTTTAGATGTCAAATACTTGAGTATGACAGTTCCAAACAACCAAGAACATCCTTGGATGACCTACAAAGGAAAACATAACAAAACAATAGCAAGCTGATGCTCTATATAGCCATTTCTAGACACAGTCTAGAAAGAAAAAATCTTTGATCACATGTCAAATAAATAACTCTGCATCCAAGAGAAAATGCTAAAAAAGTGCACCTTAAATTAAAATGTTACTCCAAAATCAAGGGGCTATTACTGAAAATAATATAAACATACAACTTTATTATAAAAATATACTATATAGAAGATTTATACAGCAATTGCAGTTGAAGTCCCCTCCTACTGAGAGTTTTTTACACATGCACCACTCCTTAGGAAAAAACATGGATAATAAATAAAACTGGAATTCTTTAACTACCTATCAAATATTAATCTTGACTTGCGTCATGAAGAGGGTAATTTGGAACATTAAAATTTGTAATAAAACTGTTAGATCCCCTGCACCTAATAGATCATTTCCTTAAAAGTAAAACATAAAATCGATAACATAGTTTAGAGAGGGAAAACGTATGCATTCAAACAAACTGATTCTTACCCATAAACTAAGTTCAGATACATTTATTTTCAGGAAATATGGTTTCATTGCCAGCACACCCTGCATGGAGAAAATAACACAGCATACAGTTAATACTTATAAATGAAGTGCCAGAAAGCACTTCTAAATTATAAGACTCTTTAGAATCTAAAATCCAGCACACTGTCAATGTTTCATGGAGCATCACCACAAGCCCAATGATGTCAAGTACTAGCCCAATTTTAACCAAAGTAGATAAGGTCAGTTAGCGACTTCATAAAGCTGAAAACAGAATCACCATATATTAATTTTTGTGAGTGATTTTATATCTCTGATTTACCTAAGAACCAAGAAGTATAAAATAAATTCAGAATTTTAGACAGATGTCTTACAGTCATAAGATTTTTCTTAAGTTAAATATTAACTTTTAGGATAAACTACAAATGAGTTTTTAATGGATCAACTAAATATTTCCCTATCGAATCTTATTTCTTGCCAAGTACATAATAAACTCCAAAAAGATAATACCCTATAGGGATCTAATCTACTTCAAACCTGGCAAACATATGCTTAGAGTTCAAAACGTAAACATATGAACTCAAATTAAATCTTTTCGGAAGTTTCTGAGTATCTGCGAACACAAAATGTGTTAAGATTCAGGTTTCAAAATGATAACTATAAATAAAAGTAGGCAAATGCTTGTTTATGGTTAAATATGCAAAAACATGCTATATTCTGTAACTGTTGGTATCACTTATTTTTATACAACAAAATATGTGAAATTTATATACATAAATATGCACCATTCATCCCTACGACACACCTCAGTGTCAGGCACCTAGTAGGTGATCTGACACCCTGCAGGTGCTCAACTGAATGAAGGGGAATTTCCTGCAAAATGTACTCAGGTTAGATGTCACTGACACGCATCTGCCATCCAATGGCTTCCTGGACATGGGCCCCAAGAGGCATGGACTTTAAGCTGAGTGATAACAGGACTTGCCCCTGCACACGTGTAAATAGAGAATCGAGTACATGTTCACATTTCCTAGTTACAAACAGGATTCACTAACTATGAAAACTATCATTAGTCTCAAAGCACAGCAACTCCATCAATGAATTTTGGCTAACTGCTAATTTCTGGGACCAAGCATACTTGAGTCACACAACCTGAAGAGGGTATTGGTCCAGATTGGGAAGCGGCAGATCCTGGGAAATAAGATCTTAAAAAAGTGCTACTTGTAAAATGGGACAAATAAGATCTTAAATAAATGTTACCTGCTAATGGGTTCTAGAAATCAGGAAAGCCAAGGAGTCTGAGAAACTAAATGATTATTCAAGAAGTCGAATACATTTCAATTGAGAGGACAATATGCTTCGGTGTTAAAATAGAGGAATTTCTTTCTTCTTAGGGTTGCAAAACATTGTAATGGTGAAGCCCATTGATTAAAAAAGACATAACCACCTCTGAAGTCCTTAAATTCAGGAAAATTTCTATTTAGAAAGTCATTCTACCAAAGAGGCAAAAGAGTTAGGTGGCTCTTCACTGTTTGTTCTCCGAATAATCTGCATCTGTAGCGATTCAAGGAACTATACCTCAGTCACCACCTGAGCTAAACTATCCGACTATTTTATACAAATAAACACGGGGAGAAACCCTAAAAAGCACACCAACGCCTCAGGCCTCTGATCCGGTGGACCGAGGGGGAGAGATTGCTGGGAGACGCCCCAGGGAGGAAGGGGGCCTGAGGGTGGAGCAGGAATTGGATAAAAACTGAAAGAGGAGAGGGCAAAAGGCAAAAGAAATGAACCCCGGGACCAAAACTGAGGTGACAGGAAAGACGAGGAAAGAGAAAGACGGGGCAAGTCAGACAAGGAGGCAGGGTGCTGCGCTTCCAGTATTAACCTCTGTTGTGTTTCTCTCCTGCTCTGGGAGGGAGGACTTAGCTACTCGATCATACACAGACGGGTTCAGTAAAACACTGAGACGCTTCTTATACAAAACCCCAAGCCAGTGATACACTGATAAACCATTCATTTCAAAAACAGCCATGTGCTTAAAGAACACTTACCCAAATGATCACCAAAGAGGAAGCGTAATAAGAAGTTAGTAACATTGAGTTTCCAAACATCAAAACAAAACAAAGTGCAAGAGAAATCTGGAAAAAGCCAAGAAAAATATAATTAATGCACAGAAAACAAAACCAAAATTGATGATTATCCCGGAAACTGCACATGCCCATGATAAACACAGTTCAAACTGTTCAAAAGGGAACTCACGACAAAAACAGCCCATGTCCTAACCCGCGCTTCGAAACCTGAAAGATCGCCACTACTGGCAGTTCCCAGTGTACCCTTCCAGATAGTCACCTGTGCAAATCCTAGTTTCTACTTTGTAAACACCACAGATGGAAACTTAACCCATAGCTATTGCTTGATTTTACTCTTAATTTGTTTCAGAGAGCTTCATATCAATCCAAACCAACCCAATTCACTCTGTGGAATAAATGAAAGCTTTCCACTCCAGAATGGCACCATAATTTCATCAGCCAGTCCTCAGACTACTCCTGAACCCTGCAGAGCTTTCCAGTTTGGTTCTGGTATTTTGTTTTTTCTATTACAAACCCTGCTATGATAAACATCCTTCTGTGTATATCTTACATATATGTCAACACACTTATGGGATAAATCACTAGGAGTGAAATTGATTAAGTAAAGGTACACACAATGAGGACTAGTTAAAAGGACGAAGAAGCCAGCCTGAAGTTGGCCCAATGGGGAACTCGAGCATCAAAGTAAACAATGAAGGCCCTGGCCAGTCTGGCTCAGTGGTTAGAGCATCGGCCTGCAGATAGAAGGGTCCTGGGTTCGATTCCACCCAAGGGCAGGTACCTCAGTTGCAGGCCCAATCCCCTGGTCGGGGTGCATGCAGGAGGCAACCAATTGATGTCTCTCTCACATCGCTGTTTCTCTCTCTCTCTCTCTCCCTCCCTCCCTCTCTTCCCCCTTCCACTCTCTCTGAAAAGCAGTGGAAAAAAATCTCCTCTGGTGAGGTTTAAAAATAAAAAATAAAAAAATAAACAAACAATGAAAATAGTGCATTACTCTGCAGTGAAGAAAACAGATGCCACTGCCCTTAGACAAAAGAGAAAAACTGGTAAAAGATATGAATAGGAATGCACAAAGAAGGAAACACAGAGGATCCACACACATTCCAAAAGATGGTCACCTTTATTGAATGAGAAAACACAAATTAAGGCCAGAGGATACCATTTTATACTTATGAGACTGACAAAATATAAAAGGATACAGAAAAATCTGAACTGTTTACATTACTGTCTGAAGTAGTCTAATCACTTGTGAAAACCATGCAGTATTAAATTATGAAGTTTAACATGAATTTAACTTACCACCCAGAAGTCTACAACTATGTAAAAGCCCTAGAGAAACTCAACATGTACACCCCAGGAGGCATGTGTAAAAAAGGCACAGCATTATTCATAAGAGAAAAAAAAGAAGAAAGAAACCTAAGTGTCTTTCAATAAGAAAATGGATAAATAAATTGTGCTTTATTTATACAATGGAAAATATAAAGGCAAGAAAATGTCTAAACTCTAGTAACACACAAATCTCAAAATCCTGAGTAAAAATATAAGTCTCATAAAAGTATACGATTTTTACAAACCTTAAAAACAATACTAATATTTAGTAATAAAAATAGGTGGGCAAAAGCAGGTTTACAGTTGTTCATACGGAAACTAATAACAAATACACAAGAATGAAATCTGTGTTTCACGTCCTCAACACTGTAACCCTACCCTTGCCTATTCTGTGTACTGTTTAGGAATGCGTGTGGCAAAGTCACGAAGAAAAGCAAGTCAATTATAATTTGACAAGTCAGGACAGTGGTCATCTCTAGGAGGAGTGACAGGATGTGTCCAGGGCACAAGGGCTTCCGAGTAATGATGGTTCCAGTTTTCAACTGGAAGGTAGCTCACGGCTGCTCATTTCATAACTTTGTTCATAACTTCTCCAGATATAAAATGTCCTTTTATATGCATCAATTATTAGAGAATAAAAAATAATAATGGCATATTATAAACATTAAAATTGTAGGAAAAAAGCATCAAAATTATAAGAACTAATGACAAAAAGAAGACAAATGTTTTTAAAGAATAAACACTCATGAAAATCACCCATCCAGGCAGTTACACCACCCAGAATATTCCTCTCCATGGTATCTGCTTAGCTGGCTCCTCTCCTCCTCCTTCCAATCTCTGCTCCACTCCCCATCTCAGTAAGACCTGCCCTGACTACCTCATCTGACACCACCATCTCCCACCCTGACCCTGGCACTCCTGATCTCCGAGGCGCTGTGGCTTGTCCTTTCCTTCTTTCTGCAGTCCTATCACCTCCTAACACACTGTACAATTACCCTTTTACTGTATTTATCACTGATCCCGTCTTCCCTCCTTCCTCCACACTACCAGGATGTAATCAGCATGCAGGCTGGGATCCTGCAGCTCCAGGCACTGGTATGCTCCATGTGCCTGGACAGTGGGTGCTCAGGAAATGACATTCCACGACAGAAGGCTCCAGACAGGACAGCATTCTCTGTTTCTCTTTCGTGAATTACCTCTTTTAGCGATAACGTGCAAGTCAGGCCCAGCCTCAAAGCAGATAATACGACCCAAATTAAAACTCCTCGTGGCCTATTTAAAACAGGCCTGTTAATTATATCACAGTCGTGAATGACACTCGTTTTAGTTACAGAATCATGGTACGAACAGTTTCAACCATGAACAATCGACTACTAATCAGGAGCTTGTTTTAAGGTCAAATTCAAACAAAAAAACAAATTTAAAAGCCATTACCATGTGTATATAAATGATCTTCCGTAATTTGCATATATCAATGTATCCCACAACATACACTGTGAATAATGAAGCAATCTGAAATTGAAAAAAAATTAAGTTAAAAATAAAAATTATATATACAATGACTAGCTAAAAGAACTTTTTTAGAAGATTATTTTATTGTTGTTTCAAATTGACTTATATTTATTTTGAAAGTCAGTCTTTAGTTTCTTACCTACCAATTTGTTATTTAATATGTTCAATATATTAACATAGCAAACTCTGGCTGACTTCTTTTCCATACATAGCTCTCAATTAGCCATTCAAATCATCTCCTTTGTGGATTACCCAAAGCAACACTCATCTCAATGTCTGGCGACTCTACTGTCAACATGTACAATTACAAAGTGTGCTGCCCAGTCCAAAAATAATGAAAATTTAATTATAACACAAAGATGAGTACATAATTGAAGACGGTACATTAAACTCAAAAATAATCATGTAACGCATGTGTATAAAATACATTAAGTTCTGCTTGTGGGCCACGCTTACAAGTACCTCCATTAGTGTCCTTTCATAAATATCCACGTGTTAGTTATTCTCAAATTTATCAACTTTCAAATTAGAAGTACTTTCGCTACAAAGGTATTTTTAACTTTCTGTAGCGTTTTGAAGAAAACTGTGTATGTCTCTACCAAGACATCTAGGCGGGCCGGGGTCAGATGGACTGACTGAGGAATGTGCACCACTAGTAAAATACAGGTATTACATCAAATGATGCCTCCCACCCTCTTCACCGAGCAAGGACTTCCCAGGGGAGCCCATGCTCCTCCCACTACACAAACAGCTGGACACCTAACCATGGGATCCAAATTCCCCCACCAAGTGGTCTCTCTCCGAACAATCCACGCACACTTCCCATCAGCCGCCTACCCTGAGCTATCCTGCATGACCTATCCGTGGTCATAAAGCAGGGCATCTGCCTAAGAGAAACACCTAGAGTCCGAGCCTTCGCCCTCTCTAAACACTAACAAATACTGAATAACGAAGGCAGGCACTCCCACCAACAAAAGTTCCCTGCATTCTACTGGGACGCAAATAATTAACTCCTGTGGATAAGCAAATCTTACGTACTTCCCTACCCTGAACTCTGCTTACAAGGATTAACTAAAAAACATTTTAGACTTAGAATCGCATGACGTCTCAGTTCTATAATTTTATACAAATGAGCTCATGTGATTAAGTGCACGAAGCTTGATTCAGTTTAGAAACAGAAGCACTTACCTGAGTAAGGAGTACGAACTGAGCGAACTGCCACGGGAGCATGAAGAACACATTGGAAACGCACAGTGCAATCAAGCTCCCTCGACAGAGTTTCGTGGCCCTTGAGAAGATAAATACGGATGAATGAGTTTAACCACGGCTGTTCTAGCGTGGCTCCCAACTGCGGCAAAGTACAATCTCTAAACACGAACTGGACAAAGTGAACCAAGGGGTTAGAAATTACCCCTCCTGACCCTCAATTACAACAACTTTCTATGAAAAGTAAATACCCATTATTACTATAAAAACAAAGCCTGCCAAAGAGAGAGAGGGCACCTGGGTCGGCATACCCACTGAATTTTTTTTAACTGTATTTGGCAAATTCATAATCTAACGTATTTAATGCTCCCCTCAGTCGGAGAGACAGAGGATGCTCTGAAAACCCATTGGAAATAACACATCTAAGTGCTCAGGATTCTGCAGCCATGTCCTGCAAGAACCCAGTCTGGGAGAATGTGGGAGAAAGCAGGCCCCGCACGGGTAGGACACAGAGTGGAGAAGAGGGCGCCAAGGCAGGTAGCTCTGAAGCCTCCTGTAGATGTCTGACTTTGGTCCTACTTGTAATTTAGGGGACTTTTAGGGTGGTGAAGTGTTTTTATCTTTCATGTTAGTTTTAAGAACAAGTTTCCTCCCGAATCAGTGACCAATGCAAAGCCTCCAACACACCTACCATCCTCACACAGTAAAGTGCTCATGTTAACATCCAGAGGGCACAAGCCGTGCCCATTGGACAGAGAAAGACATCCTTAGAAGAAAAGATGCACTGAGCACCTTCCTTTATTTCCTAAGTATCTCTTCACCACAGGACATTCCTGTGTTCTTCCAACACAGCTCTTACTAGCATGCCCCTAAGTTGAGCATTTATAAACTCCAGGTAACTCGTTAATGAGTTACAAAATTAATTTATTAGACAAGAACCAGCAATTTTTTAATGTAGTAGAGTGAAAAAAAATGCATGGTTGCATCCTACATAATAAGGGCTCTATTCCATGAAGCTTGTTTGAGCTGTCTGTATATACTCACATATGAGAATACTAGGTCGCAAGGTAAAATGTCCTCTTTCTTGTAGGTCACAGTGAAAGCCACTCTCCAAAGTAAAGCATTTTCCCATTGCTCCTGAACTCAACCTAATACCCCATCCTCTCAGTTATTATACTGACTGCTTTTATTACAGAAGATTAAACATTCTAGCTTAAGTTATTCAATGCAAAACAAAGAACCACTATCAAAGACAGGTCAAAGTCACCTGAGAATGTGAGTCACGAGCAACATCTGCAGCACGAGGAAGGGGTAGGAGAAGCTCTCTCGGAGAGGCGGTGTCCACATCACTCGGGTGCACTGAAAAGAGTTATGGTGTAAGGCCTATTTGCTAACTTTGTTAAGACATACCACCTGAAAGCTGCCATTTCTAACTACAAAGGGAAGCTATCAATAAAGATATATATTTTTTTTTTTTAAAAAGAGAAGTTTTTTCACACATAATTTAAGTGGTGTGTTGTCAAACAAGCTACTAAATTTCCACCAAGAGCAAAACTGGGAAGTGAGAACATTACTGAGTGGGAGAGGGACAGCACAGATCCCGTGAAATATTAACATCGTGAATTGTCAACAACCAAATACCAAAAACTTTCAACTGCAGCCCAAAAGGAAAGTGGGGAAAGTACCAGCAGAAACTGTTCTGCCAAAATGAAAAACATCTCATTTGAATTGGTTGTATAAACTGACTATAGTTTCTCTTCTTTCTATAAATTTCAGCAAAACTATAACTGAGACTTTGAAACTCTTTGTAGTCAGTGTTAGCATTTTTATCTACAATGCTGCTAAAAGGAACACTCCATTTTTGTTTTCACTTCTTTGTCCAAGCTACCTTTGGCTGTGGAATATTTAAAAGTGGCACAAAGGATCCAATAAAATAACAAAAGTCCTGAAATAGTCAAGTACAAACCTTTCGGAACAGCTTACTTTAGACTTAATTACATAATGTACTCTCCCAGTTGTCAAGCTCAATCATTTTCCCGCATGTATATAAATGTATTAACAAGCCCATCTTTCAACTTTAAAAAACTGCACTGGTTTAAACATAAACAATCTGGTATTACTACAACTGAGCTAATCACACCAGAAGAAATCATTACATCTTTCAAGTCAAGCAGGGCTCCTTTAAAGACTATAGCAACACAAGCAAGAGGTGAATTCTAGCCAATAGAATTAAATTCACAATAACATAAATGGAATTAGCAGACAAGGACTTAAACTAATTATAATAATTAAGATTAAAATTTTATAGAGAAAGGTGGATAGAATGGGTGAATGTATGGGAATTCTCAACAGACAAATGAAAACTTAAAAAATAAAATTATAAAACTGAAACTCATAATATCTAAAATGAAAACTCACTGGATGAGCTGAATAGTGGACTGAAGGTATCAGAATAAAGTATCAGTGAACTCAGGGACATGGCAAAAGAAAATCTCCAAACAGAGGCAAAGAAAGAAAGAAAATGAAGAAAGAAAGAGGAAGAGAGTGTAACAAACCTGTGGGACATCAAAAGTTAAACATACATGGATTTGGAATCCTCAAAAAAAAGAGATAACGGAAGACAAAATATTTGAAAAAGACATTGTTAAAAGTTTTCCAAAACTGATTTTAAAAAAACAGAACAAAAATATACAGTGAGTCTTAAGCAGGATACATACAAAGAAAACCACATCTAAGTTCATCAACATCAACCAATAAAAATCAAATATAAAAACAAAGTCTTCAAGCCACCACAGACGCAACACATAACATTCAGGGTGACGATAAGAGTGACAGCGGACTTTTTAGCAAACAATGGAAGCCATAAGACAATAGAATGACATATTTAAAGTGCTGAAAGATAAAGCTATCAACCTAGAAATCTTATGTGGCAAAAATGCAATTCAAAAAATAAGGGCATTTTGAGAATTTAATGGCAGCAGATCATCACAATGCTAAATAAAGTTCTTAAGAGTAAAGTGAAATTATCCCAGGTCTGCAGGAAGACATGAAGGACACCAATAAAACCCTAATTGAAATGTCCAGTTGTCAAAGATGACAAGAAGTTAATTAGGCACTGGTTGGGAGATAAAAGGGAAGGGAATCATTCAGGGCATAGGGAACAACATGTGCAAAGGCCCTGAGGAAGGAAAAGGAACAGTCCTTCCTGGGAAAAAAGGAGGAAGGACTATAGAACTGAAAAGAAAACAGCCTGCAAAATGATAAGACCCAGCAGGGACTAGGTCAGGAAGGACACCGTAGGCTATTTTTCTACTCTACACCCACAGATTCATTCCCAACAAAGATTAGCACACTTTTTTTTTTTTTTTTTTTGGATTTTCAGAGTTAAACTAGGTTTAATGTCAATTCACAAATCCACAGGTACACCACTCAATAGCCTGAATAAATAATACATCTTGCACTTATACTATTTTCCAAATTAATGCAAAAAGTATTTCATTGATGTTACTCTTCTGCAAGTAACCTCCAGTGGTCTTTGCATCTGCTCCAATTGAAATTCACAATGACGGACCAGGACAACAGATCGGCTCCCTCCACATCCCAGCTCCTATTGCTAAATTCTGGCCCTATCCCTTCCACTCTCTGCTCCTGTCACAATGGCCTCCTCAATACTCCCCAATAAGCTGGCCCTCTCCACCTTAAGCAGGAGACAGTCCCACCTTCACACAACTATCCACAAGGTCGAGATCTTTGTTTTACCCTCTGACACACACCCAGATTCTACCAGTACCTGGCATACAGCAGGCTCCCAGGTGTTGTTTTAATTGAGCTGAATAAACTGAAGACCCCGAATAAATGTCCTGGCCAAAACCTCACCATCACTAAAGAGGGAAAAGGGAAGGAGGAAGAAAGAAAAAGAGAGAGAGGAAAGGAGAAAAATCCCACAAATTGACAAGGAAAGATTTCTGGACTTTTCAGCTGGAAAAGATCAACGGTGGTGGTGTCACTGAAATCCTATGCCCTATCTACGACATACATGTGTTCAGAGAAGTTTGGAGAGATTACTGGTTAGTTGGGAAATTTTAAATCCTCTCTCTGCTTAGCAACCTTGAGCCAAACACTTAACCTTTTAGTGCTTCCACTTCAATGCACATCAGAATATTATTTACTACTTATCTGCCAAATAAGAATATTATAAAGACGAATGAGACTGTTTTCAAAGTGTTCTGAGAATTTCTTTCCAAATCTTATAAAAATAACATAACTATGCCAAAAAGTCATTAGGAATAGATACATTTATACTTTTATTTTCATATCAGTTCAGTTCAAAAATATTTAAGAAACTAATATAGTCAGAAAAATATGTCATGGGAAATAAAAAGGGAAATTAGATATGCCTCTAAAGCAATCCCTTTATATACTCTGAATTACTTTGGTTTAAAAAAAGTAGAAACGGATTTTCCTCCTCCTATGTGCATATTTTTATATCTGTGAACGTGGTTTATATAAAACACCGTCAGTCATGATTGATAATTCTTTTAAATCTCATCATGAAAAAGCAAAACAAGCCTATTTCACATATAATAAATTTCTAACATAGTTGGTAAAAAAATATTTAGTTTGTTTATATACTGATCTAAATGCTTTTCAATCCATATCCTGCTGAGTCCTGGGGCGTTAAGCCTGCTGCATGCATCTTATCTCACAATAAGGAAGCATTTTAAGGCAGAGCAAAACTGTGAGCTTTCATCTTAGCAGAAACTTTCAATAGGGACAGAATCAACATTGGGGGGGAAAAACTAGATAAATGAAATAATCTGCATAATTTTATTATGAAATGTATAACCTCAATACCATCAGTGTTTACTCTGAGCAATTAATAGTTCCTTTATTGAATTTTCACATTTCAGATTTAAAATTCTGTTTTAAATAATTGGGGTAACCCTTTTACATTATATATTTTGTAGTTATTTTGTTCAGGCAAAAATTTTCCCTTGTAAAACCATCTGAGAGAAAGATTATTTTTAAAAGTATGTCATATACTATCTTAGACTCAAGTACAAAGCAAACTAAGTAATGGAAATAGAACTTAAAAGCAAGTCACAATTCACAACTATTTTCTGGCACATAAACCACTTGCTCTCACGGTTAAAATAGCTCTCCTAAGAAAGAAGGGTACCAATTAGTAAGCCACCAGCAATTCCAGTGAGCAGAGCACCGTGGCACTGCAGGAAAGCTCACTAACTGCAGGAACAGGCAAGTCAGAGTTGGAGCCTCTCCCCATACAAAAACCAGATACGCTAGGCAACATATTAAGTCAGAAAAGAAAAAAAAACAAGGTCTAAAAATCTCACGACCTGAAAACAAAATGAATACAAAATCATAATAAAACAGTTTTCAGTTCCTTGAGTTCTCACCATTATATTACCCAAAACTTCAATTTATGCTCTCAATTTTAATATGTCATTATTCAAAATGGTCATTTTTCTACCCTAAGCTACACTTGCCGATGCGAGTACAATGATCTCTGACTATTTCAGTAAAACCACAATTCTAATCACATTGAGTTCACCTTTTCCTAAGTAGGAAGTGATAAATAAGCATGTCTAAATAAATATACCAAGTAGCTGAAAAATATTTTAAAAATCTATCAGCCTGAGAAATGAGCTGAATAGTCTGAATTTCCTTGTTAAAAACTGGAAGGACTTTGTAAGGAATGATGTTCATGCTCCATGAGTATCAAAACTGTAAGAACATAAGATGGGGAATTAAGAACCCCTAACACTGAGGGTAACATAGTAGACCTTTCTGCTTAACAGACGGCAGTCTTTAAAACTACATCTTGGCTTCAAATTTTTAAATTTTTTTGAAATTACTGAGGTGACTGGTTAATAAAACTGTACAGATTTTCAGTAATCCCTTCCCTCCGGGGTAACATATGAAGGCTCAATGCCCCTCTCTCTCATGGGTGGCGGTTATTTCCTGTTTCTTGGGTCATTCTTACAGTACTGTCCACACTATGACACTGAGCAGCATCCACAGTCAAAAAGAGCCAAATAATTCCTTGTTTTTTGCTCAAAACTCAGACCAAACCAATTAACTGGTTATGTTGCAGTCGTTTGTCAAACGCTCTACTCCATAAGGTCATTCTGGCTTTGAAGTTCTGTGATTAAATATGAAGCATGTGTTCCATATCTATCAACCACCCACTGAGTACTTAACAAGCCCCACCTTGACCGCACTGTTAAGCTTTAGAGTAACCACTTGTAGAGTTTTGGGACATGTGCATTTTCAAAGACTGTTGCCACTTAGTGTATAAACACACAAGCAAGCTGACCTTTCCTTTTCCTTCACACAGAACCTTACTCAACATGAAAGAAACCTGGACAGAGATATTACTAGACATTCAATTACAACTCCCATTTAGTGAAAGGATTTCACTGGCACTTTGAATTTATATTCCTCTTTAATCTAAACTAAGTGAGTAATAATAATAATACAGACTAACAGTTACATAGCAGTTACTAGGTGTCAAACATGGTTCCAGGCACTGCACACATATGAATCCATTTAATGGCCACAGTAATCCCATGAGATGGTAACACCTTGTGCCCACTTACAAAGAGGAAACTAAGGCGAGTGAGAGTAAAGGACTTGTCCAGGTCACTCAGCTACCAAACGGCAGCCAGGATTTGAACACAGGTAGAGTGGATCCAGAGCCTATGCTTTCTACCACGCCGTCTCCTGAGAAAGTCCGTCGGTATGTGCAAATGTGTAACTATAATAAAACATTCTACAAAGGACATTAGAAGTACATTAAAGTTTAATATAAATACATTAAAACAGAATTGTATAATGTGGCGATCCCCCCAGAGACGTTGACTATGCCCACGGCTGTGTCTGCTACAGCGCAGGGGCTGGTACGTCTGTTGCAGCCAAGAGCTGAGCTTTCAGTTAAGTTACATAAACGCTGGAAGAGACCAGGGTTTCTTCAGCTCGCTGGGACACATGCACACATCACATCAGAGCTGCAGCGACCATGGAAACTTAACTTACAATCAGTGCTAGTGTTTAAAACTTGAATCAAAATAAGATCAAACACTGAAAGAACACTGCTGGAGATTTGAGACATGAAATCTTAACAAGAACCCTGCACTTCTGTAAGTGAAATCCAATGTGTTTGTAAGTACGTGACTATCGGAAGCAGCGTGTTTCCAGGGGCAGAGCCCCGGGACGCGAGGCGGCCGCCCACCTACCTCGCCGTGGTTGAAGAAGAAGCAGAGCACCGTGAGCGCGCCCCCCAGCCGGCTGCCGCTGCAAGAGGGAGAAAACGGGGCTCAGAGGGGGCCCGGCGCCCCGCGGGGCCTGCCCGCGCGACTTACCTCCTCCTGGCGTCTAGGTCCGCGTCAGTGTCGTCAAAAGGAGCTTGATTTTAACAAAGTTAGACCCGTCTCCCTCCGACGCGGGCAGGGAGGCCTCCTCCGTGCCACGTTACCCGCCCCGGGCCCCCGTCTTTTCCTTCGGCCTTGACTCTGGGGCGGCACGTTTATTTGTGCCCTTTGGCATTTCTGACCCTTTTTCTTGGGCCACATGGCAGACACTCGGGAAAGGGGAGGGAAGCACGGAAAAGGGTGCCAGCGGTGAAGTTGGAGGGCCCGCCCCGCCCCAGCCGCCTTTCTACAGACACGCTCACTTCCGCTTCCGGCAAGTCTGGGCCTTCCAGGTAAGTAAGTCTGGGCCTTCCGGCAAGTCTGCGCCTTCCGGGTAAGTCTGCGCCTTCCGGCAAGTCTGCGCCTTCCGGGTAAGTCAGTCTGGGCCTTCCGGGTAAGTAAGTCTGCGCCTTCCGGCAAGTCTGCGCCTTCCGGCAAGTCTGGGCCTTCCGGGTTCCGCAGCCCGAGCCGCAGCGCGGCGGTCAGGGGCACAGGCCCGACGGGTGCACGGGAGGGGGGGCTCGCGGGCGGGGACACGGCCACCTGCGGCTCGAGGAAGAGGCCACCTCCTGCCTTTAAGGAGCCAGGTAAGGAGGGAAAAGGGAGGGGCCGCGGCCGTCTTTAAAGGATCCACTGAAGTCCAAGACCACAAATCCACAGGGACACGAATGGTGGGACTGGGTGACTCCCCCCACACTGGTTATCAACCAGGACTGGCACAGTGCCTTCCAAAGGGAAAGGAACAGCACACTGGCCAGCAAGTAGCTGAAGCGATGGGTCACGGAGATAGAGGGACAGATAACGGTGCCTAAAAGGACTACAGCCCAGCGGGAGCAGCAGGCGGGCAAGAGAAAGCCAGGCGTCAGTGCAGGGATGACACCTTAGAGCGCTGAAGAATGACTTATGGCTTCAAATAAGAATCGGGTAGGTGAGTTTATTCTGATATTTTGAACTTATTCTGAGAGAAAAAGTACAGAGGTCTGCATACTTTAAAAAAATGGTTTCCTCCTTCCACCTCCCCTAATCCTACTCACCTGACCTAATCAATAATAGCATTTGTGTGTCCATCCTTCCAAATCTCTCTCTAACCCATACACTGATATAAACATATATTTTAGTGTGATCATACTATTAACATCCCTCTGGAATTTGTTCCTTTTCTAATTAATCTATCCTGCAGATCATTCCCAAGCAATACATGTGACCCATAGCACTCTTTGGACAGATGTCAGACATCGCACAGTACAGCCCTTGCCATCATTAGACAGATATTTTCAATCCCTTGCTATAATTTTAAACAGATTTACACCCTTGTACCTGTAAATATTGGTGCTTTACTCTACAACTTTTTCATGCTGTTATTCTGAGTTGTGCTTCCTGCCAACTGTACACAGCACCATTTTTGTGGTGTTTTTATGTGTGTTTTCTGACAAGGTGCGTTTTCTCTTCTGGGAGTTGCCTGTTCACACTCTTGTCCATTTTCTTACTGGACTGTCCGTTTCCCTATTTAAAGATGAGGGGAATCATTTTTTTTTTTTTTATGTGGTTCATTTTATGTAGTGAAATGTCAATATTTTCCATTCTTCTGCATTTCCTGTCTGTCTGCGAAGGTCCTCCCACCTCAGAATTGTTTCATGTTCCACCATAATACAGGTTACGGTGCAGCATGCTCCGTGAGTACAGACCAGAGGCGGATTGTCTGGCACCCTCTAATGCTCTGCTGATCTACACAAAATGCTGAGTTACAGTCACTATGAAATGATGTGACTTCCACTCATGCTACAGTAGTATCCCCAGCATTTCTCTCCTTCCCCTCCAATCCTTAGAGACTCCCACAGAGGTCATTTCATTTTGCTAAACAGAAAAGACCTACTAACAACAGTACTTAAAATTGATTTTTCCCCATTACAGTTGATCAGTTGATATTTCAGCATTCCCTGGCAGTTAAAAAAAAAAAGTTTCTTCTGCAACATGACCACCAACTATCAGAAAGTATGAACACAGCTATTGCTAAAACACTACACTTGCTAAATACCTACACTTGCTCATACATCCCCATGCAGCTTCTGGGCCTGAGTTCGTTAGATATAAAATGAGGGGGTAAGAATGTAAGAGATGTTTTCAGTTCTGACGCTTAATAATTCTATAACTTTTTTCCTGCACCCTTCAGTGAAGTGGACTGAAAGCGATCCTCACATTCTGATTCTGTAGGCTTCCTGAATCACTGAGGGTTTCCCCTCTGTTTACCAAGGAATGACGAGACGTGCAAAGTTCAACATTCAAAGAGAGAAAAAGTAATCACAGTTAATTCAAAATAATTTTTAAATAACTGCAGGAGCTCGTTTTCTCGGGTGTAAATGCTAAGAGCACATGAGAGAATAATTCGGGGATCACTGGGCGGAGAGACAGGCTGTCAGCACCTGCTGGCTGGGGAAGGGCCGCCCGCAGGCTGGGCTGAGGGAGCACCTGTCCCTAACCTTAGGGCAAGGACGCCTGGAGCGCAGAGGGGAGAGGGAGGAAAGAGGAGGGGGCAACAGACGGAGGAAGGAGGAGGAAGAAATGAAAACATGGACAGAAACGAAAACTATTCAATCAGAAGACAGCCGACAGCCCTTTGTTTGAAACCTGCAGCCAAGCACGTCTCACTTCATGTCACCGCCACCCTGGACCCTTGGTTGCCAGCAGATGCAGGCTCTGGCCGTCATCACGGCTTTGTGCTCAGCGGAGCCTCTGCTGAGGCCCAACCAACACACACCTGACTCTCCGTCCAGACCCCTCCTGCGCCCTCCGAACCCCCACTCCCAAGTGAACAACCTCCTTCCCGGCACCCTGTCTCTACCAGGTGCTTCCCTTTCCTCCTGCCTGGGAAGCTCCCTCTCCTCAGAGAAAATTCTCCCCCATCGCCCATGTGCTCCAGGCTCAAGGCCCAGAGGTGAGGCCCTGCCTCCGTCCCACTTCCAGACACGGCTCTGCTCCAGGACCTCAGGGGAACCCCGCTCTCTCTGAAGTGCAGGGAGGCCAGAGCTATGCTGAAGAAAGAAACCAACAGGATCCTGTGACCAGCTGGATTTAGGATGCAGCTAAAGAAAGTCATGGGTGTCTTCCAGGGGTCAGACTTGAGCAACAGTGTAGTTAAGTGTCATTTGCTGACACAGTCACATTAAAAGGGGCAGGTTTGGAGAAAAGATGCTAATTTTTCAACCAATGACTTTCATGCATTTACATGTACTAAAGAGAAATACTTACCTTTTAAATATTCATACACAGCTGTTAGACCAAGTGATCAAATTTGTCAGCAGGCCAAGTTCACAGAACATTGCAAAGACCAGAGATGGAGAAGTCTGAGCTGGTGTAACCACAGCCTATGTAAGACATGCTCGTAGCCAAACTCAAGCCCTCATCAAGAGTAAAGGCTTAATTTTTTTAATGAAGGACAAAAAAAGTCAAAACAATGGAAGCAAAATTGGCATAAAGAATATAAAATGCAACTTTTTCTTAAGCAGGTGGGATACAGGAGAGAAGTAAAAATTGATATAAAAAGCCAGTCTGTTCTGCCACGGAGCCAGAAAGGAATCCTGAGTGACAGGTAACCCGGGTGGGGCCAGGAGAACTGGTCATAGTCACTGTGACTTCACCACAGGGTAGAAAGGGGGAGAGTAAGCAAATTTAACGGGAGGTTTGACATACAGACTAATCTTCCAGGCCCTCAGGGCTTCTGGACCATATCTAGAAATAAAGTATTTTTAAAAACTCTTTCTGGCATCAAAGAAGCAATTATGAACCTCCAGTGACCTCAGAAGACAACAGAGAACATCAGAATTGGGGGATGAATGCGCGGTTCTGACTGGTTGGTTCCCTGCTAGACAAAAAGGCACTTTCTGGTGACTTGTTCTGTCTACAAAAGCATGGCTGGCTTTTGTCCCAGGAGTTGAGAAGGTGGAGAACTGAGTGAAGACCCACAGAGAGGTCAATATTCACAGGAGGAGGGAAGACCAGAGGTGGATGGGAATGGTCACAGCAACATGAGCGGCAGACACTGGCTGGGGAGGAGTTCATAAAAAAAATCATGAAACAGTTCTCAAAAAACTCTCTCAGTACAACAGAGAGGACGGCAAAGAGGGGCAGGGAACACAGGGCTGTGCCTTGGTTGGGGAGGGCACCCAGAACTTCACAGATGTAAGTGACGGGGCAGGGGACTGTCACTGCCACCCAGTGTCCCCTTGGCACTGAGGTGGTTAAGAACCAGATGTGCCTCCTCAACTTTCTCCTGTCTGCTGCCACCTGTAGAGGTTGCCAGGCCTGGGTCCCCTCACAAAGGGACTTACATCTGTTCATTCTCTAAGAAAAGCCACTGGGCCATAATCGTGTCCCCTTACAACCTTCTAACCACCTCTTACAAGCTACCTCAATCTTAAATACAAATGTCAGGTCAGTTACCAGGCTGCAAGGAAGCTTTCAATGTGGAAAAAGAGACAAACTGAAGAGGACCTGGAGGCAACAGGGACAACCAAGAGGCAGAAGGAAAGTCCAAGCTCAAACTCCACTAGCATAGTCCAATCGCACAGAAAGTTACAATGAAACCTAACAGATAAAACATGGGAGGAAAAATCTAAGAGAACTGGATCTCAGCTCGAGGGTTCCAACTTCAAACAAGAGGATTTCAGGAAAAGCCAAGGCAGCGGAGAAGAGAAGGTCATCAAAGGAGTAAGGCCAGAAAAGTCTTCCCCTCAACAGAAGGACTGGCCAGATGGGTGGAGCCACAGTGTCTGACAACAAGATCGAAACAGGATTCACCACCTCGTGGCCGCTAGGGCACCAGAGAGAAAAAGCAGAACCTGAAAGCTGCCCGCTGGGGGAGGGAGAGGGGGGACACAAGCCCACATTCAAAAGGATCGAGGGCAGAACAGGGCCTGACTTTGAAAAGCTCTAGTGAATCCTGGAAGACAGTCTTCCTGGACCCAAGTCAAGGGAAAAACACAATCCTACAACCAGCCAGACCAGCAATCACGTATAAAGGTAAAATCAATTTCCCACATACAAGCTACAAACCTCCAAATTACCTCCATGTACTCTTTCCTGGAAACTACCTGAGGATGGGATCCTCCCAAATGAAGGAATAAACCAGAAGGAAGCAATACAGGCCTGAAGCGACAGTGAACCAGCATGAGAGGACAGGGAGCCCTCAGGGCGTGGGGAGCACACATCCCAGCCCTTTCCTTTTCCGTAACTGATTTACTCCCTTCGTCCCACTGAAAACTATTTCCTGAGGGCAGGTGTTCTTTTCTCGAACCTGAGTGAGGTCTTCCCCTTCCTGCCCCGTCACTTCTAAACACCCTCTATGTGAGCTTCCATTTCAGGTAACCTCATAAAACACTTCACCCCGCTACAACCCTGAAGGCAGGCCACAGGACTGGCGGTAACCCTTTCTTCCCATGGCATTTATTCAAATTCTATAGAAACTCAATGTCAGCAGGGTCCATCCACAGTGCAGAGCCTCCATACTGCCTTTTTGCCCTCAGGGCCCAGGACGGTGGACAGCCAGGGACACTCTGCGGCAGGTACTGAGCCTTCAGCCTCGGAAGTGACAGTTATAACAGGCACTCAAGGAAATGGTACTGAATGATGACTTCAATAAATGCAGTGAAAAGGAGCACAACTACAGATTAGTGACTCAGCAATAATGTCATTTCCATATTTTAACTTCTCTACTTGAAAACTAATCTCCCAAATGTAATAAAGCTACCCGTGAGACAGTGGGCAGTCCTCGGCAAAAGAACACATGCCCCAGCTTCCCCTCGGCTCATCACCACACAAGGTGAGGTGCGTCGGCCTTGCTTCCCGAGTCAGCCTCCTCTCCTGATTGCCATACCCCTTGGTTAAGTTGTCTTGTTTCAAGAAGAAAATTTTCCCATCTCTTAATCATGCATTTTCATTTCAGTCTCCCCTAATTAAATCATTAAAAGAACTTCCTTAGAGCTAAGTCAGAAACATTAGCATTAAAGTATCTTAAATCTAAATGCAAATATATTCTCAACTGATCTACTAGCTACCTCATTTGATAAACATTTATCAAGTAACTGCTGTATACTCAAACTCTAAGCTAAGAACTCAAGAGGTACTAAAATGAAATGCCACACTTCCAAAGCAAAGAAGACAGCAGGAGAATGGCAGATGCGAATCTATTAACTCAAACTGAAGAGTGTGCATATACCTGTAACTATGCTCCTACTCTGCACCGCAAAGAATCAGCGAGCAGAAGAAAAGGAAACTAAGGATACTCTCATGGCAAGAGAATTAAAGTATACAATGTGGAGAACTGTCAACAAAAAGAGCAATAAACAGAAAAACCCTTCAGAAAAGTTGTCAATCTTTTAGTTTTAGGAATGTTGCTTGATTACAAAGTAAATCAGGTCAGATAGTAAATACCTGCATAAAGTATATTTCTATTTTAACATTAGCAAAGTAAGAGCCTTTACACTGTTTGATGATGAGTGTTTCCATTATATTTCATGTAAATAATATATATTGCTTATGCTCACATACCCATGGGTACCTAACATTTTTCAAATATGCCCCCCCCACATTTGATAAATTTAAGCCTCTAAAATTATTTTTGGTTTTGCTGGCCATGACAATGGTGAAATCATCCAAATGGGAAGTAATTTTATATCTACAAGTAGAGATATCAGCAATGACACTGTTCTAAAACAGAACCACACTTCAACAATAATTGCACTATGTATATCACCCTCGGGCACGCTACCACACACCATGCTAAAATATTCTCAAGGGGCAGGCTTACCTGAGGCACGTGCCATAAATGAAGAACAAAGCCATCATCAGTCCATTTAAAAGGAAAATGACAGCCACATAAAAGCAAGCGGGGTCTCCCAATCCTTTAAAAACAAACAAAACGTGTGCTCTAAAAGGCTCTTTATACGTCTGGCAATTGATATTAAACATGCTTGTTTTGAAAATGGTTGTGATATATATCGAGTGGTTGCCTTGTTTCCAATCCGAACACACAACACTCCTGCGGATCTCAGACGAACGGGGAGCAGCCGTGGACAGACGCTCCTCCAGGGTCTGCCGGGGAAGTACGGGGTCTGCCCCAGCTTTTGGGTCTGGCTGGGCTGGTGACAACTCAACAGAGTGTGCAGCAGCCAGGGAAGGGGACATGTGGGTGGCCCTGCTGACAATCCCAGCCAGGCCCAGCCTGGCTGTGGCCCCAGCCCAGGAGCCAGGAAGTAAGCGCAGCAGCCCCTGGGGTGCAGCCGAGGCCCCTGAGAGCAGGGGAAGCAGCCCCCCGCAGTCCCGCCCGGGCGCCCCGCTGGAAGGACCATGAACGGAAGGCAGGGCGGCGGTTTCCCGTCGCTGGGCCCAGCAGGCGCCAGGCGGGGCGCGGGCAGAACTTGCCTTCACAGCTCTCGATTGGGCTGAGCCCTTCTCCTCTGGTAACCGTCCAACAGATCTTGGTCTGAATGCCAACGAAGTCCATTATTTTGGTATAAATTCGGTACCAGCTGGCTAAGATGACCTAATTTTTCAAAAATAGAGACATTATGAGAAAAGATATTATCCTCAACAGTTTCATTACTGGAGTATTTGTAAGATGCTTGATAACTATCAAATGTCCCCTTCCGGTAGCATGCACTTGGCACCTGCAGAATCCGGTAAGAGCCTCACAACCCCAACAGGTTCCGCGGGCAGCCCTCAGCTGCCCACCCACGGGCAGGAATAAAACAGAACCAGGAACGTGCGGGATTTATCTGTATTTTCAAGAGCTATAAAACCCTACTACGGAACATAAAAGATGACAAACAATCAGAGAGGTTCTATGTCTTCCTGAATGGGTCTAATGATTCAAGACGTGAATTCTCCCTCAAATTAATTTATTGACATAAACCAGTACTAGTCAAATCAGAAGTGTCTGTTTAGGGCTGTTACCCAGAGAATAACAAAGAGGAGACAACCGAAAAGAATGTCCCAACACACATAAAGTGCATTACTTACAACTAAAATAGTGTGATCAACAGATCAAAGTAGCCCGGTGGAGGTGGTGGACTCCACCCAGATCCCGCCCAGCAGCTGCACGGCCTGCAGCTGACAGCTCTCAGCTGAGTCCCTCTCTGGGAACCACTGCTAAAGAGTCAGTTCACTAAAGGCCACCCTCACTCAAGGACAGCTGCGCCCTTTGACTGGCGAGTCCGGGCCCTTGCCTGCAGGTACGCAGCCTGCAGAGCCTCCCAGCTCCAGAGCTCCTGGGACTGGCTGAGGCCTTTGTGTGGCTGCAGCCCAGCCCAGCTCCTCCTGCCCTATCCTGCTCCCTCCTTCCCTTCAGGCACTGACCCCCATACACGTCCTGCAGGAAATCTAAGTCTGCTTCCGACCTCAACCTAAGGTGACACTACACGCAAGTCCAAACACAGAAGCAAGCACACACGCATAATAACGTTGTATATAATCATGAGTGTGGGGGAGATGGACCACACCCCAAAGTGTCAGGTTACACGCATGACCACTGTGAAAAAACATGATTAGATTCCTACCCCACACTATACCAAAACAAATTCCAGGTAAATTAAAAATGCAAATATTAATTAAAAACATCACAATTAAAAAGAACAAAGATTTTTTACATATATGAATAAAAAATCATAAATTAAAATGATTCACAGATATATTTCTGTACAGAAAAAAATACATACACATCATACACAAAGCTAAAAGCAAACAAAAAGCTGGGAAAAATGTTTTATCCATATAACAGTATTAAAATCCCCATATAATAAATGCGCTCTTATAAAACTTCAATGGAAATATAGACAAAGGGCATGAAAGTCATTTTTAAAAGAGAAGATGCATTTTTTAAATAAATTCATACACACACAAAGCAAGGATTCAGGTAGCCAAGCATTCTCAAAAACACTGCTAGTGGGAATTGCACTTCGTGTAACCTATCTGGAAGGCATTCTGGCAGCATGACCACAATCACTCAAGTGTGGATTCTGTTAAACTAAACAGTTCCACCTCAACAAAGTTATAGTGTGAAAAACGGAGACACGTAAAGACTGAGTTCAAAGATGCTTACTGCAGCATCAGAATATCTTAAAAGGAATTTTCATAAATGATGAACTAAGTAAACAATGGTACATTGTACACACAGCCATTAAAAAGGAGGCTGTGGAAGAGAAGATGACACAGGAAAATGGTTATAAATAGTCTTATAAGACAAAGGCATTTATTTAAAAGATGCGCCATGTGATCTCAGTTTTCTTGTGTGATCCAATTTCTGCAAAAGTAAATGCGTACGTGGTTATACTGAAAGTACTCGGTAAGCAGAACACTGGGCTTGTGGTTATTTATTGGTCTCTGCCTCCTCATTAATCAGTCGGGTGAACTCACTGGCCTGGAAGTTCAACTCCTCTCACTCAATGGGAAATGACCGGGAGCCCAGCTAAGTGCTGGTACTGAGCCAGAGCATGGGACCCCTGCCAAGACCAAGGCCACCCAAGGCCTTGGCATGAGGCCCAGGCTGTCCAGCAGCAGCAGGTGCTGAGAAGGGGAGACGGGGGAACTGTGGGTAACTGGAGCACCACCCATCACGTCAAGGAGGCGAGCACTGAGGAAGGCACAGGTAAGGGGGGCCCTGGAGAGCTCTGAGGAATGTGTCACCTGAAAGCAGGATGGTAGGGAGGCCAAAACAAGTTACTGATGTCACTGCCTTCCTCCCCACCTTCTGGGTGGCCCACCTCGAGAAAATACAGTGAAGGGAAGCCTCCCAGATGGGGAAGAAACACTATTTGGCCAATGACCTGTGAAAGGCATGGCACCCCCCGCTATAATCCCAACCAGCACGCCATGCAGATAGCTTCACATTCCCTAAACCACACAATCATAGGTCCCACAGAATCAGTTCAAGTTCTTCAAAATTAATGATTTTTTTTATATTCCTTTCTAAGAAGAGATACATTTTTTTAAAAAAAACAATAAAATGTAATGTACTGAATCATACCTTAGATTTAGAATTAGCTTTTAATACAAATAACACTTTTTTGTAAAGTAAGAAAATCACAATTGAGAAAGTAGCTTACCTCAGGGTAAAGATTGAACCTTTTTAATGTATTAATTACAAGGGGGTATTCGGTCAGCCTGTCATTCATAATCATCCATACTCCATTTAAGAACGAGGGCGCTTCCACAATAGTCTTGAAGTAGGAATAATACAGCCCCTGAAATAAGCATATATTATAGTCATAATAAAAAGTACATAATTACTATAGTAGCTTTAAAGAAACTTAAAATACACTGTTTTTAAAAAAGCACTCAAGCAAGTAAGAGCTACAATCAATTTCATAGGTTTCTAACCACTGATAAGTTCTTAGATTGCAAAAAGCGTACATATTTTAGTATAACCTTGTCTTAACTGAAACAATTGGGCTCAAAAGAGCTTCAAAAATAGTTTCCACATTTATAAAAATAGCTCAGCATATCTCATTTAAGAAAACCCTATAACCTATAATGTGAGTGTTGGAGAAGGCTAGCTTGAATAGGGTGTGTAACCTATTATGGAACTGAAATTTACCATCAACTACAAATTCTTCCCTGGCCAGAAATGTTTCCCCATCTGCTTATCTGAATCCTTGTTTTGTAGGTTTGATTTTGGAATCCCATAAACAGCCTATTATAAATTGAAATTTTTAAACAGAAATTATCAAGTTGGGAGAGGATTTCCAATAACTTTAAGATGTAGTAATTTCACTGTACATCCCTACTGTGTATCCTAAAATCAAACTGAAATGCAAGAAAGTCCTAAACTGTTTTCAGAAATCATATTTTTAATACCTCTGGCACTGTTATTCCTCAAAAGTAAGTAATTTCAAACCAAGATTCTCAGGCTAACAGAAAAGATGCAAATTTAATATAAAATAAGTAAAAACCATGAAATCTTAAATTTTAATTTAAAAATAAGATAAATTCATGAGTTATTTTATAAATTCATGAGTTATAATAAAACTGTTTCCTAATTCTGTTTACCGAAAAGGCCAATCTAGTTTAAAATAGCAGCAGTAAGCATCTCTAGCACCAAAACTGTAGTCTCTAAATACCATCTGCCACTGAAAGGGACTGGAAATTGGAAAACTGGATGACTCCAGGTCAGGAGATAAAATGTCTATAATACAGGAAAGTAAGGAAGCTTCAGAATACTAGTAGGGCCATGTCAAGGGGACACAGAGTGGCCTGCAATGCTAAAGAACCACCTAAAGACAAGTGAGTTTATAAAACTTGTTAAAATCCATCAAATCATAATGAGACTCCCATAGAAGAAACTCCATTGGTTATCATGAGAAGATTCGAGAGAACCAACTCATTTTTCCAAAAGGCAGTAAGTAGAATGAACCAAGAATGAACTCGTCTTACCTGTATGACGTGTACCTCAGAGAAACCAAGTTCAAGTATTACAGGAAATTTCTTTATATAAGAGTTACAGTTAATAATGCAGAAAAAGTAGTAGAATAGATCATCACCATTTGGAAATCCTAACAAAATAACTGACCTAGGCTGAGGGCTAGTATTCCTGCCTGCCCTGCCCCCAAAAATCAAACCTTCAGCTATCAAGACTCTTATCTATCCATTTTCAGGAAACTTGGGACAGTGGAACATAATAAATAACATTAATTACTGTGGGTAATTCTATAGGACAAATGGCCAGGATTCTTCAAAAAATAAACAGCAGGGAGAACAAAACAAACATGGGAAGAGGAACTTATAGACTGAAAGACTTAAGAAAGAGATAAGAGCTACATCAACCAAATGCAACGTACAGACAGTGTTGGGATCCTGACTCAAACATACCAACACATTAACTGTGAAAAAAAAAGTCAATCGGGTTATTTAAGCAGGGATTGACACCTGATGTCATTAAAAATTGCTGTTCATGCCCAGCCGGGCGTGGCTCAGCGGCTGAGCGTCCACCTACGATCCAGGCGATCAGAGTTCGATTCCCGGTCAGGGCACACACCTGGGTTGTGTGGGCTGCAGCCAATCAATGACTCATCATTGATGTTTCTATCTCTCTCTCCCTCTCCCTTCCTCTCTCAGAAATCAATATATATTTTTAAAAAAAATAAAATAAAAATTGCTGTTCATTGTTTTCAAGTGTGACAAAAGTACGGTCATTAACAAAAAAGTCCTTATATGAAAGCGCTCACAGATGAAATGATACAAATCTGAGGTTTCCTTAAGAGAGACAAGTGTGGGGGGTGTGGATGAAAGGAAAACGGCTGTGCCCTAGGAGTTGAAGCTGGGGGATGCAGAGACGGAAGGTGTCCACTCTTGCTACTTTGGAGCATCTCTGAAAATTTCCATAAGAAAAAGCTTAAAAGTTTGAGATTCCTAAAATACTACAATCAAATACCACATGGAAACTAACCATTTCAGTGCGAAAAGCCATCTCCCTTTCCAAGGTTGAGAGGTGAGAAAAGTGACGATCATTTTCAAAGAGGTGTGTTATGTGGCTCCTGCAAAACAGAAGCAACAAAGCAACAGTACTGAAGCTTATACTAAGTAATATTTTTCAAAGAAACACTAAAAGCAAAAATGAAATTAATAATTTGCAGATAATTTTGGAACAAAACTCAAATACAATGGTACCCATATTTGTTTTTCTGCTCAGTATGTCTTACATTTATACTAAAATTTCTCTCTACAAGAAAACACATTCAAATTAGATTTTAAAATTAGAATGAACCAGAATATTTTAAGCCAAGTACAATAAAATGATAAACCATAAATGCCATTGAGTTACCATTTCAGAGATGTCTGATTAATGAAATTCATATTTCTATCTAGAAGATTAAAAAAATTAATCTTCCTCTCAACATGAACACTGTAGTAATGTTAAGCAAAGTACAGTCTCAAATATAACCTCTTCAATAATAAATATGTTTATTAAAAAGTTACATTCTGCCCGATTTATCAATTACACGATTTTTCAGATGACTGTGTTGCATGTGATCATATATATTCATCATCATACTGAAATCATTCCTTAGAGTCAAAAGAAATAGCTACGGTAAGTTATAACCATCTGCAGAAGAGACCACAGGAGAAAACAATCTTACCAGTGCAACACTGCAGCAAAGGCAGCTGGAAGAAAAAAGAAATTTCAGTTACTACATTAATATAAAGAAATGTTTTCAACTTAACAGAAAACCACTACAAAGGCATGCATGGTTAGGGATGGGTGAGTGTGGGACTGTTCAAGGTTGGCAGAATACTGACACTTCCAAAGAAGCCCCCGGACTATGCCTAAAATATCAATTGGCTGAATTATAAAGGAATTAAGCATATGTCTATAGTTTACATTCGCTCACTCTTTCAACAAAATACATGAAAGCCTTTATTGCCCAAAACTGTACAAGGTACCCTCGGATGGAAATATCCAGATAGAAGCAATGGTGAGAGGTAACTGGGAACAACGAAGTAAGTTGACTTCAGGAACAGGACTGTGGATGGATAAAAAACTTTTTACATACTGTTGCAATACCTGAAGTTTTATGATAAATTTTACTATTTTTAGACAAATTTAAAAAATGAAATAAATAAAAAACGAAGAGATGGAACGGGAAAAGGAATGAAGAGAAGGTTACAGAGGAAACAAGCTAATGATAAAATCAGTACATGAGAATTGTAAAAAACAGACGACAGACCAAAAACGGAGTGACTAGGGCAGCCTGCTAATCACTCTTCCTCGGCCCCCTTCGGCCTTCAAAAGCCTTTCTACCTGCTGGGGGGATGCCGCCCCATTCAGGCATCATTCAACGACGCCGATCAGATCTTTAAAATTTACTCATTTGAAGTCTTGTTATTTAACAGAATCAATAGTTTGCTTTCTGTCCAAGTACAAAGCACATATTAAGATGAATCCAGAAAATACCATTTAATTCTCTTGTATCACAAGGTTCATCTTACTGCAGGCTTCTGATTAAATTACTAAGGAATTGAATGGTGAAAATATTCTTAGAAATGAAAACCAAACAGCTCAGATCTTTTGCCTTATTCTTAAAGAAATGTTTACATTTTTAAAAAAAATATGTTTTGCCTAGGAGATATTAATGGTTATAAAAGATAAAGTTACTCTCTAGGTCCAATGAGACTGCAAATACTGAACTAGGCTGGTCACTGGACATTTGTTTGCATGTGCCACTTTGACCTTTGGAAATCTTGATTTTTTTTCTTGTTGACAAATACCACCCGCTTCCTTTTCCATTAAAGACACCACCCCCCCCCCC